TATCATTCCCTACAGTAAAGATGTTGATCTGGGCATTTGGATCAAAGATTATAGGGATGACATCACTCAGGCGTTTCAGAAGGCTGGTCTCCCACTGAAACACAAGTTCGGAAAGGTAAGGAGATTTTGAGAGTTTAAGTAGATTTGGACTTGGGGCCTTATTTTAAGGACCCAAGATTTCACGACTTAGGTCGTGTCCGGATCCACTTTTGCTAGTTTAACGATGGGAAAAACAGTCTGTGCGCCAAGTGCGTGGTCTAAAACGGTTGTCTCTATTCTCTTAATGAGTAATGGGTGGGTTTTGGGTGTAACATGCAATAAACCAATCAGAGTCTCATCTCCCATTCCCTTTAAAAGCCAGTCACCCTACGAACGTGTCGTACCAATTAAGATGCATATTAAACCGCTTGTTTTGATCCTGGTTTTAATTTTTGACTTGACCAGAAACCCAGATCGGCCTCTGTTACTTCAAACGCAATTAATTTTTTAGTTAGGGACAGAGATGTATAAACTAAAGTACTAGAAACCCGGACTTGAGTAAAAGTACAAGTGCTCTATCAAAAAAGTGACTTGAGTAGAAGTTGAAGTGCTCTTTAGTACTAAAGTATTCAACATTTTTTGTACTTAAGTATTGCAAGTAGTTTATTTTAAATCCACTACTTAAGTACGGCCGCCAAAAAAATGTCATTTCAGGACAACCCCTGCTTTAATTGTCAATGTGTGTGTCAATCAATACCATTATCCTATAAAACTGCCGTGTGATTTAGGCAGCATGAAAGCCAACTTGCAACGAATGATTCGTAAATTTTTTATAATTGTAACGAGTAACTAGCAGAACATTAAAAAAAAATATCAAAGTAAAAGTATTAAATTCATCGAAAATATCTACTGAAGTAAAAGTAGAAGTATGAGAAAAAAACAATACTCTATTAGAGTACAGATACAGCATTTTAGTACTTAAGTAGTTCTACTTACATCTCTGGTTAGGGATTAACTTGAACATGAGCAAAAATGAAAATCCTGTCATCTTTTACTCACCTTTTTAAGTTATTCTAAACCTTATGAGTGTCTTTCTTCTGTTGAACACAAAAGAAGATACAGGCAACAGTTCCTCTAAACCTAATTGATGGAGTGTGTAGCTTTTCAATTCTTAATAAAACATGTAGGAAGACGCATCATGGCCATATTCCAGGATGATAATGTCAGATTGTGAGGTGAATGTCACATGAAGAGTCCAGATGTTACATTCATTGAAAGTGTTTGGGATTTGCTGGAGGAGACTTTACAGAGAGCTTGACTCCATACAAGATCTTGACCAAATATGTATGCATCTCTTGATGGAAATAAGCAACATCACACCTCTTGATGTACATAAATGTTGTTTAAGAACTGAAAAGCTCCATCAGACACATTTTCACCCTTCATTTGTTTAAATTTCAGGTGGAGGACAGTTTGGAGCTCTCCTTTCAGGGGAACGATGTGAAACTGGACATTTTCTTTTTTTATGATGAAGGCGACATTGTCTGGAATGGAGGCACGCAGGCAAAGAGTGGCAAAAAATTCAAGTGAGTATTAGAGAGTTTTCTATTATCAATTAAACATTGCTTTTAATATCAGTCGCATGCTTCCAGTCGTGGATGTTGCTAGACCCCATTAATGCCCGTGTGTGAATACAGTGCCATTAGCCAATCTTTGAAACAACAAAGTGAGGTAGTCAGAAATTACTTTACCTGTCATTTATTTATTTATTAATTATTTGATTTGTTTGCACTTAACCCTAAAACCGTATTCTGGACAAATGTGGGCAAAATAATTTTGATTTGTTTTAAAAAAATACTTCCCTTGATCTGAGCGGTACAAGACTTGGCTACTTTTTTAAAGTTTTTCTCCTGAACACACACAATTTTTTTTTTACTCAATTCTACAATGTTAAGTGGGTGAAAAAAACTTCTTAATCTTGTATTTGGGTCAAAAATGGGCACCCATAGAAATGAATGGGAAAAACTGTAATTTAGAGCAGTCTAAAATAAGCCAAAATAAGACACCAGGTGACAGCAAAGTCACTTCATCTTTAGGTTTTAGCTCTAAGAACTTATTGGAATGATATTTTAATGTAGTTTAAAAAAAACCCCATAAAAATAAGAATAATTTACACAGAAAATATGGTACTTTTTGAAGTAAATAAATTAAAAAATACCCCCAAAATAAAATAAAAACACCATAAATGGATAGACAAAACTTTATCGAAGACAGTGATATAACATTTATAATAAATAAAAATTCGGATCACACCTGGGTGCCCACATTTGTCCAAAATTACAGGATTAAGGGCTCTAAGTGAATACGGTTTGAGGGTTAAACACACAAGAACAGTGTATGAAAGTGAAGCAAGATACCCATTACCCAGGGTTAACTAGTTCAAGTGTGGAAAGCCGTAGAGAAAATCAGTTTTTGTTTTTACTTTCATGAAATGTCGTCGTCTTATATTTACATTGTTTGCCGACAGATACGTGTTCCCACGATTCAGTCTGTGTTGGGCCGAGCTGATGGAGCTGAAGGTCCAGGTTCCCTGCGAGACTAGAGACTATGTGATGGCCAACTATGGACCCAACTGGAATGTTCCTGTAAAAACCTGGGACTGGAAGAGCTCCCCGTCCAACGTACAGGAGAACGGCGTCTGGCCTGTGCGGGAATGGGATGATGTTATTCAGGTTTACTGAAGCATCATGGGAGTTGATATGGGTGACATTGCAGCTACAGTGATACAAACCACTCTAAGCTACTACAAACATGAGAGCAAGTTTTAGAGTTCCCTGAAAGTCTGTGGACCATAAAAACCCTCAAGAATCGTTTTATTCTTGAATAATAAACCATCGTGTGAACTATTTAGGCTATTTAGACCTGAAGTGATTAATAAAAATGTTATTTTAATAGATGATAATGCTAAAGTGAAGGGTGGCTGGTATAAAACTGAAATACAGGTGGAACGTGGAAAATTAGAATATCGTGCAAAAGTTCATTTATTTCAGTAATTCAACTTAAAAGGGTGAAACTAATGTTATATAGATCCGTTAAATGCAAAGTGAGATATTTCAAGCCTTTATTTGTTATTTTGATGATTACAGCTTATGAAAACATTTTCACAATATTCTAATTTTGAATGAAGGGTTTTCATATCTGTAAGCCATGGTCATCAAAATTATAACAAATAAAGGCTTGAAATATCTCACTTTGCATGTAATGAGTCTATATAATATATTAGTTTCACCTTTTAAGTTGAATTACTGAAATAAATGAACTTTTGCACGATTTTCAAATTTTTCGAGTTTCATCTGTATATAAAATACCTTTTGAGAATAGCAAAAAGTTGCATAATTAAAACATATTGTACACCCCTGAGGTTTGAGTGCATCAGCAACTCTGGGAACTATTGCCTGGAGCATTTCCTCCTGGTAGGGGATCTATAGTCAAACGCTTTCTTTATCAGGTTTGAGCAACACGTCATGTGATTGGAGAAGACATTTGCTTTTATGATTGTGCCTGTTGAGGGTGTGAACATCGAAAAGAGTAGGGGACCCAGTACTGAACCTTGATGCACGCCAGAGATTAGCTGACGAAACTCGGACACTGTGGGTTTGTGGTGTAGGGTGCTGACTGCTGATGGTCACCACTTTTATCAGTGGAAAAGGTGAGGGTCATCTGGTTTAGGCACACATTTATGCCACCATCTGGATGCATAAAAACACGTTTTAAGTGCTGATGCCTCAAAAATATGTTCACGATGTGCTATTTTAAATAGTTGCGTTTTCCCCACTGTCAATACATTTTCATTTTTACAAGTCATATTGGACTTCTCCAAAAACAAACATTAGCTATATTAAAAAGGCAACATATTTCATCCTTTAACTTTTTAGAAAAATGTATCTCAGGATCTCTGATCAAAATGGTGAAAAACTACTTCAAAGGGATAGTTCACTTTGAAATTAATTTTTTATATGTTTTATCTTACCTCAAGGGCATCCAAGATGTAGGTGTCTTAGTTTCCACAGTATTTTCAATTTTGACATTTTTTGGTCAAGCCGTTGTTGTCTGTCAGTCATACATTGATTGGAGGTTAAGGGGTCGATTCACCGAGAACTCAAAATTAAACATGATTTAATGACTCGTGAATGTAAGTGTACGATGGCCTAAGACACGAAACGATCGGTTTGTGTGAGAAAACGAACAGTATTTATATAGTTTTTTTTAAACCTCTTGTTAACAGTCGTCGAACTGATCTGAATCAGATGTCCAACTGAACCGAACTGAACCAGACTTTCTCTGACTGAACTGAACCGTCTTCAGACGTTACGTCGGAAGTGATCTCTCGCGCGTCTAGACACGCATTGTTTACATGGAGATTTCGGAAGCTTTACCTTTCACTAAACATATTTAGATATACGGGAAGACGATTTCGATATATCTAAATATGTTTAGCGAAAGGTAAAACTTCCGAAATCTCCGTGTAAACAATGCATGTCGTAGACGCGCGAGAGATCACTTCCGGCGTAAGTTAATGCCTGGAGACGGTTCAGTTGGACCCGATTCAGATCAGTTCGACGGCTGTTAACATGAGGTAAAAACGATATAAATACTGTTAGTTTTCTCACACAAACTGCTCGTTTCGTGTCTTAGGGCATCAATGGGTACTTACATTCACGAGTCATTAAAACACGTTTAACTTTGACTTCTCTGTGCGTGCTCTTTGAGGTGAACCGAGGGAGGTCCCCTGACAGACAACGTTTTGACCAAAAAATTTCAAAATGTGGAAACAGACACCTACATCTTTGATGCCTTTGAGGTAAGCTAAAACATATCAAACATAATTTCAAAGTGAATTATCCCTTTAATGCTGCATTTATTGTATACTATTCACTATACAAGTATTATATTAAGCTTAGTGTGAAGGAAGTAGTTTTTATTGTCAGTGAATGTCATCTTCATATAAACGTAAAACAACAGTAATTCACTTTCTTTTATTTTTTTGTACAAAAGGTATCCATATTAGTATCCAACAGATACTTCAACAACAAATGGCTTAAGTCATTTTACAAACCTTCATGACATTTATCCTTTGACTGGACAGAGGAAGCAAATGTAGGAATATTTACTCACTTCCCGATCAAAACACTAGAAAACAGGCCTGGCTTCAGACAAAGCTAACGAAACATACTTGATACAACAGTCATATTGAGCAGTGCTTTGGAATACTGGCACCCATGACCTTATTTAAATGTACAACAGAAATCACAAAGACGAGCACATTGTTAGCAAACACCTAAAAACTGCAATACCCACGTAAAGAACAGGCAGTCTGCTCACAAGGGAAAAAAAATAAAAGAAAAAACATACAAAGGGGAGAGCAGCTCCATCTCAACTATGTTGAGCCAGCTACAGAACCAATGATTAAAAAAAAAACAAAAAAAAAAAACGTGAGGGTAAAATTGCTTTTTGGTTTCACAGTTAAAGTTTAATGCACTGCATGCATGATGCTAACAATGGCATGGGATTGAGAGAACATTAAAAAAAAATGCCCAGAAAGATTCAGTTCAGCTTTCTGATGAACATTAACTATTTAAAAAAAGAAATCAAAAGCTAAATCTAAACACACTATCTACAAAATGAAAGAAACCAAAAACAGGGTTAAAAGCACTTCTCCCTATCTCCGGTATCGGCCCCTCTCCTTTTCCCTCTCGCGATCTCGAATCCGCTCTCGTTCGCGATCACGTTCTCTGCCGCGCTCTCGCTCTCTGTCGCGTCGCCCGTCCCGGGGCCGGTCTCGCTCTCTCTGCCGGTCACGCTCGCGCGGGCGACTCCTGCGTCCGCTCACCACGGCCTGTGTTCGTCTCAGGAAATCGTCCACACGCATATCGTAGTCATGCTGCCACACAAAAGTTTGAAAGTACGAGTAAGCAAAAACGCAACATGTAAAAACAAACACCGGCTCAGTTCCAAAACCTAGTGAGCTAGTCTAGCAAGTCGACCCTACACGTGTAGTGTTGGGTTGCTAGTAGGAGTTCCCACTACTTTGGAACACGGCTGGGCGATATCGTTAATTTATATCTGGATATTATTAAAAAAATGTGATATTTAATATTATAGGTGGCTAAACCCAAAGATATGATGATATGACTGTTTTTGTAAATATATACAGTCCGTGTAAGTGTACAATTGAAACTTTTCCCATGGTCTAATGCTTAAAAAAAAGCCAATTTTTTCTTTTTTTTTAAATTTTTTTATACAAAAGTTGGAGAATCACACCCAAATATTGTGATAGTATCGATTTGGCATTACGCGCCACTGACCAATTTAAACGCCTCTGATTGGTCATTGCATTCAGCACTCAACAGAAATGTCTGTGATTGGCTCCAATGCTCAACGCCTTGATGCTTTTCATTGAAAGCAGCTGCCATTCAAAAAAATGTTATACATATAAATCAGTGTTTCTCAACTCTGTCCTGGAGGACCCCCAACAAATGCACATCTCCTCTTACACACCCATTACAGGTCCTGGAGATTCCTCTAATGAGTTGAATCAGGTGTGTTTTATGAAGGAGACACAAGTCGTTTCTCAATACAGAGTACGAAAACTTCGGACTTGCGTCCTGGGTGGTTCGGACTTGCCAAGTTCGACTCAGGAGAACAAACTCCCGAGGACGAGAGGACACGAGTCCGATTATTCTGCAAATGAATTTGAAATCTTTATTTCGTACATAAAAAGAAAGTAAATAAAGCAATGTTTAAAAAAAAAACTTAGGAAAAATCAAAACAAATGAGCCGCAAAAAATATATATGTATAGTTCTTTGCTGTTGACATACTTCTATTATATGTGCGAAATGGAGTAGGAAGAAGTAAAACTTATATACTTCTACCCCTTAAATTCTTACAGTCTTACATTTACAATTTTATATTATTATCATCATGTTGTTCTATATATCCATACACCTATACAGATATATACAAGCAGCAAAACATAATAATAATACTAATAAAAATAAAAAATAAAATAAAAAGTATCGGATATAAAAAGAACGCATATTGAGAAACGGCTAAAGAAAATGTGCAGTGTTGTGGGTCCTTCAGATGCAAGGTTAAGAAACACATTATTGTGATACACAATATACCCTAAATTCTATATTTTAAGCAAAAAAATAAATTATATCGCTAATATTCGATGTATCGCCCAGCCCTAGGTAGTTTTCGAGCCGCTTTAAGTGGCTAAACTTTACCAAACTGGAGGCGAAAGAGCGAACAACCCTCTTTTCCCTGAAGCGGGCATCATGGGGCATGGGATGGTGTCCGGAGTACGGAGGGTGGGCCTGCGGTGGAGGAGGATGATGATGATGCTGGTAGTATGGGTGCTGGGGAGGGTGCTCCATACCAGGGTACGGGGCCTTCAGGAAAGAGAGAGAAAAAAAATGTATGACCAGAACAAGAGATTCAGAAAACCCAAAACCCAGGGAATAGTCAATCTTACCATTCCCTGCCATGGTGGTGGAGGCCCGATGTTGTGGTGGAATTCTCTCATGTAGTCATTATAGGACTAGAAATAAGAAAATAAGTGTTAAAATGTTTATATGTCCATTCATGACTTGATTTGTATGAATCATGACCAAACGTTAATTAGCATGGAACTAAGATGGCTTTTTAATGAGTTTTCCTGGCGTCACTGTGCATGTAATCACCCCTCCAGCCAAATAATAAAACTATTTAGTCTTCATAATCTAACAAATATATAATATCTCCACCTTTGAAACTAATTTACTAATCACTAAGGCTCTTATTTTTCATCTCATATCATTGATTTTTTCCAATTCAATGATATTCCATTTGATAAAATAGTCTTTTTTTTTAGCTCTACAGGAGATTTTAATCAATAAAATGGGTTGCGAATGGCCTTTAATGTTGACTTAAGTCAAGAAAAACTTACTCCGTTGAGAAACACATCTCTCCTGACACCAGTGAAGCGCCTGTGAAGAGATATTACGTGAAGTTATAATACACAGAGCATTCAGAAATGCAGGATATTGAGGGGAAAGACGAGACCAACCTGTCCACAGGCTGATTGCGAGGGTCTTGCATAAAACCTAAACGGACAGCGAAAGTGAGACAGATTTCACCAACGACAGATAAAAAGCACAAACAATAAAATCAAAAATTTACAATTTCATTTTAAAAACACAAAAGCTACAACAATATTGGCCCAAAAAACAACAACAAAAAAACAAATGTTCAGGGTGCAGTTCAGATGCCATACTTTCACCTACGGTACAACACAAGTGACTCGATAAAGAGCCGTAACGTCTCTTTCTTTCAGACACCAGAGGAAACATGAGCGCTACACATGGCAGATATTGACCTGGTCTCTGGGGGAATTCTGGAGTGTAATCAATCCTGGGCCGCTTCCGGTTGTGCATGTCATATTCTTCAGGGCGACGCCTACGTAAATCAGGTACATTAATGTGAAAGATGGCACTGATTTAAGAAAACAGACAGACATGAAGCAAACAGTCAACACTTTTCTTTCAGTTATCAGTGTGTGTGTGTGTGTGTGCAGGATTACATATCTTAGCAGATTTCTTTCTCACTGTACAATCTCATTTTAGTTAATGATAAAAGTCTAGGTGAGCAACTAAATTAATCCCTAAACTGCATGACACGTATTTTTTTGCATATTAGCATCCTGCATAAAACAATAGTCTGGGTTCAATACAATCTACTCTCAGCATTTGTGGACAAAATCTTGATTAGGCCTGGATCACAATTTATCAACTAGTTGGCTAGATTTTTTATTTATTTAAATGGTTTAATTTTTGATATTTGTTGCAACTGAACTTTTATTAGGAAATTGCATCAAGTTTAAAACCATCAAGACCTTAAACTGATCTTAAAGTTATACTTTTTACAAACATGTCAAAAAATGATGCCTGACTGGGGTTAGAGCTCATTTTAAAAAGTCATGGCTACAGTAAGATGTTTAGATAAACAACAATAAGCATTAAAATGCACTGCAGTTTCGAGAGTAAAATTAAAAAAGCGCTTAGTGAACCAGATTAAATTTTCAGCATGTAAAGCAGGTAACTTTTGCAAGGATACCAAATCAGGTAATCAACACAATGCCACAAATGCTGTTGCTAGAGCTGAACCCAGAACAGTCCTTTAATCCTAAGGCCACATTGGTGTTTTTTTTTTTTTTTTTCACTGCTCAATCCTCAGCAGAGCTCTACGTTGTGAGTATTTCACTACCTTCAAGTGTAAAAACTTTTTGCACACCCATGCAAGTGAAATCACTCCAATAACACCATCAGAATAAACCTCCCAATGCATCTCACCCAATTGGAAAATTGTTTTATGGAGCATTTGGCTGTCTTTCGTTGTCTTCGATTCAAGTCAACAGGATGCGTTGTGCTTGCATTCTGGATACGTGTGTGTGTGTGTGACCAGACTTTGTTTTGGTCAGGGTCTGGGGTGCGTTTCTCGAAAGCATCGTTAGCCAACTATGGTCGCAATTTCCATTGAACTCTATTGGTAACGACGGAAGTTGCGACCATAGTTGGCTAACGATGCTTTCGGGAAACGCACCCCTGGTAGGATGAGTTTCGCATTAAATTTGGCCTGTCAAGTTCACCAAACCCTGTTGTGCTCCATCTACCATGCAAAAACATTCAGTGTGCAGTGTCATTTTACCATCTATTTTAGTAATTTGAATAAGCTTTTCATTTTAGTCATTTCGTTATGTACTTCAGTCATTTGTATTAGTTTTCACCATTTAGGCTTTTTTTCCAGCTTTAGTTTTGATTTTATCTCCAGTTAGTAACTTCAACTTTACACGGAAATAAGAACTGCTGACATAACGAACTTAAATAAGTATAATATCTATAATTTATGTCAGCTTAATTTCAATTATCAAAACACAAAGCGCATTTCTCTGTTGACTTGGAAGTAAAAACTACAAAAAGCAGCCACTGACATCCAAATAGTAAGTGTGATTAATACATTAAATGCATGTTAATGACTAATTAGGGCTGTCAAACGATTAATTAATCGCATCCAAAATAAAAGTTTGTGTTTACATAATTTATGTGGGTGCACTGTGTATAATTGTATATATATATATATACACACACACACACACGCATGTATATTTAAGAAATAAAATATTTATAATATAAATTATATATAAATCTATATACAGTATATACATGAAAATATTTCTTAAATGTATACAAGCATGTGTGTGTATTTATATATATATAAAATAATTAAACGGTGCACCCACATATATTATGTAAGCAAACTTTTATTTTGGATGCAATTAATCGCGATTAATCGTTTGACAGCCCTATGACTAATTTAAGTTACGTTACCAATATATATGTTTGGATACCAGTTGTTGATCGGTCAAATCTGCTACTATTTCACACTGACAAAGACATCAAGATAGTTGCTTATAAACGTATAAAACCGTCCAAGTAAACATGTATTAGCATTAATGTTATAGTCCCAGTGTAACAGTAGAGCCCTGCTCAGAATTGTATAAAGCTTTCGCTGTGTGTCCTGAAGCCAGAAAATCCCCTTGAACTGTGCCATGAGGGATTGTTAAAACACTTTTGATGAGTCTTTCTAGAAAGACCGTTCCCTTAGTGAGAATGTCATTCTAACAAATGGTGAGAAACCCAATGTCAAAAACAGTGGAGAACAATAAAATCTGGTTGAGAGTGTGACATACCGCATTCTTGTAGTTTTGTGACTGCTAACGTTGGCAAATACTTTTAGAGTAAGAGTAAAAGTTCATATAAAAGTCCATCTTATGCTTTAACACATTTTAAATGGGAGGGCCTGGTAAAGCAGAAGAAGGGGGGAGTGATAAGGAGTGGTGCAGTCCATTGCAAAGCAAACCAAAAAAAGACCAAGAGAAGATCCAGACATCTGGAAATAACCCTTCTCTTGGGATACTCAGTCCATGGAGGGCTCAGAGAAACACAGAAGAAGGGGAGGGTGGAGGCATCATCATTTTACACCATCTTTAGTCCAAACCGCCTACCTACCACCATCTGGAACATCCCATTGAGATCGAGAGGAAGGGGCTTTTTGTAACAAAGAGGGTGGGGAAAGGGGAGGGACGTGTACACATCCAAACTGGAGTCCATCAGTTGGGGCTTTGGCCAGACAACGTGTAAATTGACAAACTTCCTCATAACGTTTGCCTCGTTTAAGTCCTTTTTGGGGCCTTTCTTTGAGTTCATGTAAAGCAGTGCTCTATAGGGACAGTCCCTGGTGCCATTCGAGTCCATATGCACTGCAAACGGGACGACTACTCGCTCCAGCAGCTTTGCAGAAGAACATGCCCTCCCTCCCTGTCTCTCCCTGTTCACCGTTTGACGCTACACCTCCGCACACTTCAACTATCTATATCCTTAAAGCACACACTGGAGCTTTTTCTGCTTTTTCAAAGAAGTCCTCTTGAAAGCTTTTTTTTAAACAACGACTGCTTTCTGCCCCTCAAATCGACGTGCCATCGTCTTCTCTTTAATTATTAAGGCTCCTTTTAAAAGAGTCCCAAATTTGACTGGCTCTATCTCCCCCATGGACACTCCTGCAAGAAAAGGCTTTGGGAACAAATTTAAACACAGTCTCATCTACAGAAACAAAACAGACCTCAGAGTGCTACAACTAGACCATTCTTAAGTTGTTAACAGTTAACAGGCATATCAGGTCAATCGTTACACCATTTCTGCTCCCGTTAACCGTCAAAATTAACAACAGCACGCAGGATTTAGGCCGTGACTTTCCCACAAAAGCCGCAGCCGGTCCGGTCTGCTCTGGTCAGCTTGGTTCGTTGCTCTTCTCTGACCCTCGCTCTCAAGTGACGATGAAGACGAAGGTGGAAAGATAACAAAAACGCACTTGTTCCCTTCGCATCAGGTGACAGGGACACAAGTGCGCACTATCAGTCCAAAGAACATTTCTAACCTTCCCACGTCCCGAGGGACGGGCTCTCTGTGGGGTAGTCGGCCCCGAGATCGAGGCTCTGAGTGCATCCTCCTCTTGTGGCGCATTTTGTGAATGACCTGATACAAGTCAATGCTCTCATCCGGTGGGAAGAGCATGCACAGCTGTGTCCCGCAGTCTGGTTCGATCTCCTGCGGTCGGCCGTTCGCGGACGTGTCCAAGGGATCATGCGGGACAGTGAAAAGAAAGAACGTTAGCGTTTGTTTTCGTGAATAAGCTAATCAGTTTTGGGCATGTTCCTTGGTGTCTACGTGGCGTACAGTGTTGGGTGTAACTAATTACTAAGTGATTAGTGACTAAATATTGTTCAGCCAAAGTGTGAGAAAAAAATCAAATTTAGGAGTTTTTAAACTACTAAAGTTGAAATAAATGCATAATAATGCAATGGGGGAATATGTGAGGGTCCTCACAATGCCAAATGTCTTGTTAGCAGTAAAAAATGGCAGTAATTAGTTACTGTAATTTAATTACTTTTCCCTTGAAAATGTAAGGGATTACTCTTAATTTATCTGTAATTTAATTACAGTTACTTCTGATGTAATTGAGGTAGATACTGTGTATAGATCAATCCGATCTCACAGCGATTCGTATGCATTTTGAGGTGTCGCCCGCACTCGTACAAATTCGTATGAATTATTGTAAAATATGTATGAAAAAAAGTGTGAAATGTCATGAGATCAGACACAAAAAAATAGTGGGTTTAACATCAAAATGTATTGTCTGTATTGTCAAAATGTAATTATTATAAAAGTATGTTTTTTATAATGTAACCTTCTCCACCTTGGTCAGTTTAAGGATAATTCATGCAATTTTATAGTATTTATTTGAAAAAATTAAAAAAGCTGTATATCCTTGTATTATTCAGCTGGTTGAGGTTGATATGGGATTTTGAAAGTAATTAAAAGTAATTAAATACTTTTTAGAGAGAGTATTTAGTACAGTAATCCAATTACACTGTTGAAGAGGTCATTAGTAACTAGTAATTAATTGCTTTTTTAGAGTAACTTACCCAACACTGGCGGCGTAACAATATATTGTGTCACAATACAAAAATGCAACAATATGCATCGTGGATAGTGACTAAATATTGTGTATTGTTCAGCCAAAGTGTGAGGAAAAAATCAAATTTAGGAGTTTTTAAACTACTAAAGTTGAATTTAATGCATAATAATGCAATGGGGGAATATGTGAGGGTCCTCACAATGGCAAATGTCTTGTTAGCAGTACAAAATCAAGTCAGTAAAAGATCGCAAGCTTTTTCGTCTAAAATAATTCTGTATTTTCAGCTTCAGAATCATGAATATTGTTATTCTGGTGTCTCTATAGTTCTGTGCTTTGGGTTTCCAGCACCAAGTCCAAATTTGCAATACCAAATTTAGCATTTTAATCAACAGGGTATCGTTACACCCCTACTAGTGAGAAATTAACAGGAAATCAAAATTGCGTTGTTAGTGTTTGGTCTCATCAATAAGGATGACACATATATAGCGTTAATTACACCTTTGATTTCCCTCTATGTTTGTTTAGAGTCTGTAGTGCTTGTAAAATTAAAACAAAAAATTAACATTTCCCCCCTGTTTTCGACCTATAGCTGTCATCAACAAATGTCATTAATTCCAGCAAAACTGTGTGAATGAAAAGCTGTCAGGGTTCGGTTATAGATGTGAAATTTCCAGCTATAAAAATCTAATATGCACGTATCTTTTTTCTGGAAACTTAACTTACTTTAATATTTAAAAAGAAAAATGCTGGGAAAAATGGATCCCTTCTGGTATAACATCCTCTCCTTACGATTAAATCATTGAATAAAACCCCAAGTAAAAGGAGTTAATAAAGAAATCACGATAATACGGCTAACCTGTCCATCACGTCCAATCTTCACAGGCTTGTGCTCATTCCACGGGTTGGAGAGGTGAGCAGTTTTTGTGAAAGGTAATTCCCGCCTTTAAACAAAGAAAACACACCTCAATAGCTCAATTGTAAACTATCAACAAATAGCCAGACGGGATTGTTTTCTCATGGTTTAATACCGGCAAATCCAGTCAATTTTGAAGACTCCTCCAAGCATCTTGGCATTCATGCCTGCGGGCAGGACCCAGTGAATGGGGGAACCTCCATGATGAGACTCGGACGAGAGTCGAGCAAAACCTGAAACACACACACAAGTGAACCTGCATTAAGCCACTCCATATGAGTTTCCATTCACTAAGGAAAAGTGATGTGGATTTAATGAATATGGTTGTCCCTTGAGCATGTAACCAGAAATTATGGACAACAGACTAAAATTATGCCATTTTACAAGACAATGATATTATTAAGGCCATAGCACACCAAGCCGACGGTTGGCTCAGTTTTCGCAGTGTTTCCGAACTGGTTGGACACCGTCTGGTGTATTTTAAATAGGGATGGTCAGCATTTCGGTATCGGCCGATATATGTTCATTTTTAATGTTATCGTTATCGGCCTGGTAAGAAAATGAGGCCGATATATTAAAGCCTGATAAATAATGTATTATTCCCTTCAGCTGAGACACTTGTTGAGCTCTGTTTATGTTTTTGAATTTCTTGAAATATGATTGAAATATCTTCAAAAAATGAAAATACGGGTCGGTACAACATCTGTCATATCGGCTATACAACACTATAATGAGAACATCATTATAATTGTGCGCATGGATTTAATTGTGAGACTTTTGTTTTTGTAATCAGGCTCTCAAAATTAGGTAAAAATTTGGATTTAAATTTATCGGCCGATATATCGGTTATCGGCTTTCAAATATAAAGAATTATCGGTACCGGCCAAAATTTTCATATCGGTGCATCTCTAAATTTAAACGATTGAGCATGTTGAATCAGCATGCGTTGGCGTGGGTGAGAGACAGATCACTCTGATTTGCGGTTCAGCTTACACACGATTCTTGCCGTTTTATGAGCTTGCAGATGATTTTTCACTCGGGAGAAAGAGTGGAAATCTGTGATGCTCGCACTTCGCAGCATGTCAGAGGAATTACGAGCCAAGCACGTTACGAGCACCTCTCAAAAATGTTTAAACACGTATAAAAAATTGGGGAAGATGGCCCGATTTTCACCAGTGTGTAGACTGTCCCCTATTGCCAAATCATACACATCCACGTCACACTGGTTTAAACTTGACATTTGTGTTCTTTGCTGAACTCAAGCGCTTCTCACTGGATCTCGTGAGCGAGATGATCAGAGTAGTGAGGTCGCGCTGCCATTTGGACTTTAACCGAGCGGATAAATGCTCCGTGTGGCGGAGTTTCGTTCCGCTTTTGGAGCATAAACATTATCGAACTCTTGATATCGTTTTATCGAGTAAAATTATATCATGATGATTATCGTTTTATCGCCCAGCCCTAGTCAAGCATCAATGCTGTTGTTCTTAATCAAAACATAAGGCAGTCCATAGAAATGTGCAGTCATTTTTTTTAATTGCTAAAACAAATAGAGCCCGACCGATAAAGGATTTTGAAGGCCGATACCGATACAAATATTTTTGGGTTTAAAATCCGATATATATCGGCCGATATTTTATTTATTTATTTTTTTAAACTGGACATGATAGTCACAAATTTTGTCATGCTTATTTGAGTTAAGGGAACTGATGGGGATGTTCTTTTAATTGTTATTCAAGCAATGTATGTATCGTGACCAACTCAACGAGTGTTGCCAACAGGGACGGTGTAGAGCACCCTCTGGTGGACAAACAACTCCAACACTCATGACATGGTTCAAGCGCGTTTTGTCCGTTTTAACGGCCATTTATCGGCCATTATAACTGCCGAAACCGATAGTTTGGAAAATGCCTAATATCGGTCTGGCTCTAAAAACAAACAAGTGTTATTGGCACTCTGAGGATACAAGTCACTCTTAAATCATGGCAAATCACGTGCTCAAATTCTTGCTTATGGGTTTATCGTCCATTTATGTTTGGTATTCCTTACGGCAGTTTTTCTTTTTAAGACCCACCTTGAAACTTTCCACTCTCCCTAACTGAGAAGATTAGCACAACACTTCGAGCAGCGCGAAAAGCAGCGTTGAGTTTTTTCTCGTTGACGGGCAGAGTGGACCACACACCCTGTGAAGAGAGAAAGCATGTCATGTTAACTGGGTTAAGCTTCCATTAAATCTCTTAAATCAAACCGTAAACAGGGCTGCGAGGGGCAAACCTTTGCTTTAGCCAGGGAAACATTCTCATGGTTGTTGCTCTTAATAAGAAAAAACCTGGCCTCTCTCAGGATATACTTCAGCTTGCTGGTTTGATCTTTTAAAAAAAGACAAAAGGGGAGAAAAACATTATTAAACTGGTCACAAAATGGCTGCAGGCAACACCAAAAATTAAAATAATTGACCATGAATTTTAACAGTAGTTAGTCAACTCTTTGCACAGAGAACACGCGTCAGGAGGCATCACATTTCAGTAGTAAAGCCACAACAACAAAAAACGGTTTGTGTCACAAATAAAGATTAATAAATTTGAAAGAAGCAAATTTTAGATCGGTCATGAGCGTTTCATGTTAACAAAATGCTAAATTTGAAAGAACAGATGCTGTTGATAATGTTCAACTAGAGGCACACGTAAACACATAGTTTAATGTCATAGTTGACATTGCACGTTCAAGATATAGGGGCACATGTTACTCCATATCTGCTAAACCAAGGTTCTTCAAACAGGGAGTCGGCAAGGGGTCCTCCAATTAATGTTTCATCACAAATTATTTTTTGTTAAATTAAAACACAAATTACAATGTCACATCATGCTAAGCACCCTCAAAGGTTTGCCATCATACTGGCAAACGCAAGTGGTTCAACGGATCACAAAACTCTTAATATTACGGTTTTTGATTCACTTAATTTTACCAGCCAGCGGTGCCAATAATTAATGTCTTCAACATGAGAGTTGGATGAACATCAGACCACATTTTATAAGTAATCAATCTAACAATCTAGGTACTTTTAAAGGGTTCACAAACAAAAAAAACCACGGAGGATTCACTGCTTGAAAAAATATTACCGCTAGATTACAGACGTGACAACACAATTAAATGCGCAAACATTATCTGAATGTGAGTGTGATGTTCTTACCCTTCCTCACAGCTCTGACAGAAGAGGACAGTTTTTCATGTTTCTTTTCAGACCCTAAAAGTCAAAGAGAAGCAAGCTTTAACATTAAGCTGATTAAGATTCATTCCCACAAGCCTTACATTATGGTATATGTTTAGAGAGACAAAATCTAGTTGTTAGAAATTCACACTATTTCAGGCAACAACAACTGTTACGTATTTATTACTACTCTAAGGAACAGATTATTACTATTAAATGGCTCTCTGAAAATGTTACATAGCCCGATGAAGACCCTTTGGGTCGAAACCAGAAGTGGCAGTGTGCAGATTCTTGTTTATTTGGACTCTGAAAATGTTAAACATTTAAACTGCAGGATTGACCACAGTCCCAGTTGACCAATTGGGTTTTCTTGCATCATTTATACTCAATTCATGTAGCCATGTAAAAAATAGTTTCGAGGATGGATCATGATCTGCATCGATGCAGTAACAGACTATAATCGATTATGGTAGGGCTGGGTAATAAATATCGATTTCTCGATATTAATCGATTCTCATTTTTACGAACCGATATCGATTCTTAAATCTCAAGAATCGATTAGTCATCCTGTTTCATTTGAATGAATGGGACATCAAATCGCGGCTGCGCGCATCCAAAAAAAATCGCAATAATATTTGTCCTTTGTTACTATTGATATGAAACAAAGTTTAAATTTTTTAATTACGTCCATTTTTTTTTAGAAATTCAAAAACATAAATAGCGTTTTGGCGCTGTGGCGTGAGATCGCTCTGGCGCAGCTCAAGAGAAGCAGTGGCGCTGATCTCCCTTCCGGCTTAATAATACCCGTCACAGCGCGAAATAAACATGAAGGAGCATCTGAAAGTGTGTTAAAGATAGAGTACAACTTATCCAAATCCGGATCATGTCACATTGATTCGCTCAATCAGCGTTTCAACCGTGAAAAGACGTCAGTTAAACTAATCAATGTCATGTATCGCCATATTTACCTCAGGAAACCCACATAAACTCGTTAGTCAGCTAGAAAAAATAACTCTAGAGAGGAGAATTTTGCTAAATATATACACCATATTACATATGCATTATAATCTTAATGTTCTTCAATATTTAATGCATATTTGAATAAATCTGGCAAGTTTTTAGGACAGCCACAATTTAAATGTTTATATTTCATATAATCTTCTTATTATAAATATAAATAAAAGTGTAATTTAAGTGTTTGTATAACTACAAAACAGTTTATTATTACCTTCATATTAGGCTAATGAAGTCTATAGGCTACAACTAGACCCCCATAGTTTACAGCATTAGTTAAAGAGATTTGATTCCCTTGAGAAAAATGGCCATTTATTGTAACTGATATCCAAAATAATCGATATTGAATCGAAATCGAATCGAATTGCAAGCTTGTGAATCGAAATCGAATTGTGAAATTTGTCTCAATACCCAGCCCTAGATTATGGCTCATTTGAGTAGCTCATACCTGACGCTTCTGAGCCCGAGGCTGAATGTACGGACTCTCCCTCCGAGAAGGACACAGACTCAGACTGGGAATCACTGGCCTCACTGCGAGTGTCGTAGTCATTCGGTTCATTTCCCTCCTGTGGGTCCTCTTCCTCCAGTTCATACTCTTCTTCTTCTTCCTCTTCTTCATCCACTTCCTCCTCCTCCACTTCCTTCTCTTCCCCTTCCTCCTGCATGGCTCCTTCTTCGACATCAGAGCAGTTTCCTTCAGAGGAAGCCACAGAGCTGCCAGTCACATATTCATCTGAATGAGGCTCTTCCTCTCTGGACGAGCGACTCGTTCTGCCTGTACTCTCCTCACTGGTCCTCCGCATCTTCTGAAAACAAGTGCATGTATTACACACCCTGCTTACTATGCAACTTAAATGATGGGTGATTAGTGCAAAAACCATCCTCTCTCACCTCTGTCAGTTCAGGCAGCAGGGGTTTGATTCGTCTCTGGGAGTCTCTGCTGCGGGACGGGCCTTTTTCACTATAGCCTTTAGGCAGATCAGCCCGGGATCCTCTTCCAGCATGGTTCTTTCTGTCATCATAGATGTCTTCCGGTGCGTGTCTTCCTCTGGGATTGCTCGTCTTTTTGCTGTTTGAGCCAGAAGATGTTGCAGCTCTCTTTAGTTGCTGTCTGGTAGTGTGTCCTGAGGCTCTAAGCCGCTTTGCATCCTGGCTGTCTCCTCGTTCATGCTTCCTTTTAGACCCTGAGGCATAAGGTAAATGAGAAGTTAATGTGGTGACAGAGCCAAAGAGAGGTGGTTTGCTATTGGTCGATCTCATGTGAATGACAGGTTGCCCCGCCCTCGCCCCGGTTAACATCAGAGATGATGTTGCAAACGGGAAGCTATTTTAATTAAAGATCTCAAAGAAGCATATTCTAGAAAAAAAAAAAAAAAATATGTGCACAGATACATAATTTATAATAAACACTGCAATATTACATAAAAAACAGGATTTTGATTTCAAGGTGACTTAGTGACTCAGTGTGAATATTTTGGATTGATACTACAGTACCCAAACAAACAAATCTGAACACTTGTAAAATGACTTAGCTTACAAGTATGAATAGTTGGTCAAAATTGGATGCATCTGAACCGGTCAATGCTTTCAAACTGTACCTTTTTTCTCATTAACATCATGTTCACTCTCAGGGTTGTAGAGCTCATCATCCTGGTCAGGAGCATCAGTCAAAATGTCTTCCAGCACATTCAGTTCCCCATCTGGAAATAAAAGCACAAAAATGTTGCATTTTAGTTTTAAGTATATTGGTATGTCATTGGTCACTCAACATGAAACATTACGTAGGGATGTCCACAAATATCTATATAAAGGCTGGATGTCTTAAGGCGGAGTTTCTATCGTCATCACCGGCGGCCATCTTGTCAGAGGTAAGCTGATGTAAGGTCTCGTTGAAACTCTTGTCTCGTTGAAATCTTGACGGATTTACAAACGGTTTGGTTTCTTACAAACGTTATTAACGTGTCTATAATTATCTGGATGATTATTTATTTATACACTTATTATTCATAAGTATGCTGTGTCATAACTACATCTCTGACGTTTATAACAAACCAAACCGTTTGAAAATCGGTAGAAAATTGAGCAAGTTATGGTTATTTTAATAGTACATGTACCATTAACACAATGTAACGAGTGAGCGAGCTGCCTGTGACAAGATGGCCGCCAGGTGCAGACGTTGACCTCCATTGGCCAGCAGCGTGGACGAGATATCTAGCCTTCATATAGATATCTATGGGGATGTCAACGATTAATCGATTAACTGTCGATAATACTTTAATCGATCAAACTTATCGAGCATCGACTAACCTGGTCTATGCGCGTGCCTGGCTGCAACTCAACCGCGAAACATGTAAGCGAGCCGCCGGAGTTATGTTTGAGACTTTATCATGACTACGTTTGCGTGTGTGTTCGCAGCCTCTCGTTTTATGCAAATGGTAAGTTGTAATAGTTTATTATGTGTACTCCTTTCAAATTGGATGCATTTTGTTGAGAATTGAAGCGTGATCTTTAGCGCGTGCAGCTCAAACGGCAATGCACGACTAATAATGACTATTGGGAGTGTCATATTACATAACATTATAAAGAGAACAATATTGTATTTAAACGTGGTGAATTATTTGGGTTTAGTTGCCCTGTCGCGTTGTTCCAGAAAGAGCGCGTGCACAACATTCAGTCATTCTGAATCGCGCGTAACTTGGTTCAAGTTCACTTGTGCATTCACGTCATTTTGTGAAGATATAATTTGTAATATTATGTTCATTTATCCGGCTAATCTCATATCGGTTGTGTTTCTTTGATTTAAATAACGAAAGTGCTCAGCGGTTATTCATTCACTCGAGCAGCAATGCACTACTAATAATAACGATGGTTAATTTGTGACTGTCATATTAGACAACATGAGAACACCATTTTATTAAATTCATTGGGTTTGGTTGCTGTTTTCAGTGCGCGTCCACAACACATTCTGACAAGCACGCATTTGAGGCGGCGTTGGTGACAAGTTGTATGAGTCGTTATATTTGATTATTAAATAATTAATTTAATTATCTATAAGTGCTGCTGTTAATGTTTCAAGTTTTTCATACAAGTGGTTTACCAGACAGATTATTATATATAGACTTAATATATTAAGGCTAAGCCTACCCATATGGATTTTTATTAACATGTTTTGCCACAGGTCAGCCAGTGCACGAATATTTTTTTATGCATCAGTATATAGCAGTTTTATTCAGTATATAAGCAATATTTTGCTTTTTATGTTAAAGACACTATTGATACATCGAGAAATGTACATTCTCAGGAAAATTGCCGCTTATCAGTTAATCGTTAATCGCTCGATAAGGTCAATCAATTAATGATTAATGAATTAATCGATAATTTGCATGATCCCTACAATATAGCATTCAATACAACAGATACGTCACAATAGATTAACAGATAAAAACAATAATAATATAAATTCAAATTAATTCAGCAAAAAAGCCAGTCACGTTTAATATTAAACTGTTCCGTTGAACATGTTAGTGTAAAATGTGCAAACACTGTAATTAATTCATTGTGAGACATCAAATATTGAAGTTACATAACGTGTTTTACAAAATTTATTAAGCAAAACAGATCTATTTTGATGCATAACTAAATCACACAGATGTCCTATACCTTAAATCAATAAAATACATGTTTCTGTCTGAAACAAAATCCTCCATGATACACGTTAGCATCATGCTATGCTAATAATAGAGGTTATGATTCCTCAACAGATCAACGTCTAGAAAGAATGGGAGCTAATTTAAAAACTAAAACTTAATATCCAACAGCTAGTAGTTTATAAATTGTAAATAAAAAAACACGTATTACGGTTTTTGTTCAACAAATCTGTGGCTAGGCTAACGTTACAGGTAAAAAAAAAAATCTTTAACGTTACCTTTCTCATCTCTCCTGTCGACAGACATTTTCAGCCCCCCGTGGATTAAACACGCTTTAAAGGGCCCCCTTCTCTCTTTCTAGATTTGTTCTTTGTTAATATGTTAATTCGTCGATATTTTTGAAAATGTGGCACACCATTAAATGTTTTGTGCTTTGAGCGTGTTTGTCTGCTTTAAAATGGCGTTTCTCTTCCTCCCTCCGCATCGCAGTGTGTGAATGAGGGTTGCCAAATATTCAGGTTATCACGCCTTCTGCTATGTGATCTGGCACATAACAAATATGGCAAGCAGTATTGCATTTATTAATTCCACAGGATGTGAATTCTTGACATCAACAGTTGAATTGCTAATAGTAAAAATGTTCCCGGTTTTAACAGAATTTCCCCCTAAGGGTTATGGTTAGTTTGATGACCTAACTAATTTAGGGTTAGATGGTTAGTTGGTGTAGGCCGGCAACCAAACTTACAGCACTGATGTGAAAACTAGCTTAAAAAGCTTAGTTGCTCACGTCAAACGTACTGCCCTTTTCCCCCCAACCAGAATTTTTGAGAGGATTTTCTGGTGTCAGTTTTGTAGTAAAGCCAGTCAAGAACATTATAAAACCATGAGCTGAAATCATGCCCTATTCGCTGCATTCCCTGCTGGGATGTCGGCCATCACTGGCATGCTTTGTTGTTTCTACTCAAAGGCCTAAGAAAGCTGTTTGAGCCGTACACATTAACCAACATCAGAGAATTGTGCAATTATGCAAAAGTGTTGTTGATTTAAAATCTCAGGGGTACTTCAAGTAAATATTTTATAGCGGTTCGAGTGATAAAACATTTAGTAATCCCTGCATTGCATGAAAAAACATGAATAAACATGGAAACAGCAATAATAATACTTCCAGAACACTTGTTTGAAATATCTTTGTCTATAATCAATAAAAGGTATGATTAAGACATAATTTGTTTAGTAACACATCATCTTTTATCAACTTGCATGATTATTCGTCTCATCGATGGTCTAATTGATTTAGAGGTGGTTTGGTCAACAAATCCAGAAGCATGGATTGCTTATTTATTTGCCATTCTATATTGTGAAAAAAAAAAATCAAAGCTATAAATGTCATGACACATAAGGATTTTTTTAGACAGGAAATTAAAAAAATAAATAAGAAAGAATAATTCGATTTGGTGAGTAAATTATGGACAATTTACTGCCATTGTGTGAATAATATGTAATCATACAATTTATAAAGAAAGAACTACTCTGATCATGAGCATTTTAAAATGTCATTTATTGTAATAACAAATATTTTATTTTCTAAATCTAATCTAGATTACTTATAATCAATTACCTCCCAGAACTGCCGGTTACTCTTCTTACATAGGAAAAACGGCATGGCAAATCAAGTAATATGTTTATTTTACATGAACATTCACATGTATTTGTTTCATTAAAGGTGCTATATGTAATTTTGTTAACTGTAGAAAGCCTTAAAAATGTCATATGTTTACATATATTTAAGAAACATGCTTAATTCAACAGGTTCTCAGAAAAACAATGCTGCCAGTTTTGAAATGTGCTTTCCCGGTCAGAATGTCTGTTTTTGTTTTGGTCTGTGATCCCGCCTACTGCCAATTTAGCCAATAGTATTTCGGCACACCAGGTTGCCAGTTGGTGGAATACAGCGCGTTGGATCAGAAATGACCTGGGTGATTGATTACAGTTCTGTCATAAATCTGGCAACCCGTGTGACAGAGGAAGGGGCGTAAACAACCCAAAAAAAACCCACAAAAAACAACAATAATTTGACTTTAGACTGCAGCACGCAATTCAACCGCTAGCTTTCAATATTTCATACTGCAGTCTGTACCTTTAAGTAGATTTGCAATATATACAAAAGGCCGTCACACACACATGTAAGGACTCTGTAGAGAAATATTGAGGGCAAGGCTACATGCATTCACTCTTTTTTATTCTTCTTTTGTGCTTTGCCATCAGGACGAGTCTTTCTGAAACATTTACGGAAAAAGAAACTGCACGTTTTAATAAAGAGGAATGTGATCAGTGCAACAATTGAGATTAAAAAGGCCAGTACGTCCAGGCAGTGGTATTGAAACCAGTTCAGTTCATGTGCCTGAACTCGTAGATGTTTAGCTCCTTTATTCCGCATCACAAATTCGATCCAGTAAACTGCCTGGTCCAGAGGTTTTATCGGCTGATCATGGTGGATTCTGGACAGTCTCATGATGCTTTCTTTGTATCTGATTAGAGAGGAAAAAGAAGCACTGCTTAACACAAGACAAGCTCTACAAAAGTATAAAGTTTCTATATAGAGAGCCTAAGTCCCGCCCCTCCGCTTCCGGCTCATGGGACCTTATTCTGAAAAAATATGTGTGGTAGTCAATGGCGAGAGACAACTTATATTTTACTCCGTCTGAACTGTGCCCTAAATTACGCATATGATGTTTGTCATTTTAAAAGATAATTCTGAAAGTCAAAAACGTCGCAGTTTGTCATAAAACAGAAGAGTAACTTTTAGTTTTTATGTGAAAATCGCTCAATTAACTACATCTCCCAGGAAGCGAAAAGAACGAGATCCAGTAAAGTTAGCTTCAGTAAAGTTAGCCTCAGTAAAGTTAGCTTCAGTAAAGTTAGCTTCAGTAAAGTTAGCCTCAGTAAAGTTAGCTTCAGTAAAGTTAGCTTCAGTACAGTTAGCTTCAGTAAAGTTAGCTTCAGTAAAGTTAGCCTCAGTAAAGTTAGCTTCAGTAAAGTTAGCCTCAGTAAAGTTAGCTTCAGTAAAGTTAGCCTCAGTAAAGTTAGCTTCAGTAAAGTTAGCTTCAGTAAAGTTAGCTTCAGTAAAGTTAGCCTCAGTAAAGTTAGCTTCAGTAAAGTTAGCCTCAGTACAGTTAGCTTCAGTAAAGTTAGCTTCAGTAAAGTTAGCCTCAGTAAAGAGCTTCATTCATTGAAAGAAAATGCGCGCCTTTGGGGTTTGTAGTCTTTGTAATTACGTATTTTCATAGTCTTATACCTCAACGGTTTCACATCAAACGGCCACTTTCTTTACTTTAAAATGTATCTTTTAAATTGACGAACATCATATGTGTAATTCAGGACACAATTCAAACCAGATCAAAATATTTGTTGTCACTCGCCATTGACTACCATACAATATTTTTCCTAAATAAGGTCCCATGGTGGTCGACCGGAAGGGGAGGGACTTAGGCTCTCTATATAGACAAGCTATGCTTTGAAATAGAGTGTTTTTCTATGACATCGGTTTTAAAGTGAAAGGTGCAGCCGGCCATTTTAGGGTTGTTTCTAAACTACTGAGAAAAAAAATGGTAGAGCCCTTTGGTAATGGATTATTGAAAATTTATTAACTCACGAGGGGTTATTTAATACAGTCTTGAGAGCTTCTGCCAGGTCTTTGGACTTCATTGTGTTGATATCAAGGACAACAGCAGCTCCTTTGGTTTTCATGTGCATCATGTTGTCAGGCTGGTCAGCAAACAGTGGTAGACCCACCATTGGGACGCCATGATAAATAGCCTCATACAGTCCATTTGTCCCGCCATGGGTAATGAAGGCCTTCGTTTTTGGATGTCCTATCAGATAAAATGAAGTCAGTATCAATCTGACGCCAGTTATTGTTCTTTGTGTTTAATGAGCAGACGTGACAACTAGGGCTGGGTAATAAATATCGATTTCTCGACATTAATCGATTCTCATTTTTACGAACCGATATCGATTCTTAAATCTCAAGAATCGATTAGTCATCCTGTTTCATTTGAATGAATGGGACATTGTATCGCGGCTGCGCGCATCCAAAGAAATCGCAATAATCTTTGTCCTTTGTTACTATTGATATGAAACAAAGTCTCAATTTTCAAATTACATCCATTTTCTTTAGAAATTCAAAAACATAAATAGCGTTTTGGCGCGAAATAAACATGAATGAGCATCTGAAAGTGTGTTATCGAAATCATGTCACATTGATTCGCTCAATCAGCGTTTCAACTGTGGAAAGACGTCAGTTAAACAGCTTGTAATCAATGTCATGTGTCGTCATATTTACCTCAGAAAACCCACATAAACTCGTTAGTCAGCTAAAAATAACTCTAGAGAGGAGCATTTTGCTAAATATATACACCCTTATACATATGCATTATAATCTTAATGTTCTTCAATATTTAATGCATATTTGAATAAATCTGGCAAGGTTTTATGACAGCCACCATTTAAATATTTATATTTAATATAATCTTCTTATTATAAAAATAAATAAAAGTGTAATTTTAGTGTTTGTGTAGCTACAAAACAGTTCATTATTACCTTCATATTAGGCTAATGAAGCCTATAGGCTACAACTAGACTCCCATAGTTTACAGCATTAGTTAAGAGATTTGATTCCCTTGAGAAAAATGGCCATTTATTGTAACTGATTTCCAAAATAATCAATATCGAATCGTAATCGAATCGAATTGCAAGCTTGTGAATCGAAATCGAATCGAATTGTGAAATTTGTCTCAATACCCAGCCCTAGAGACAACACTTTCCTTACCAAGCAAATCATTCTGTGGGATCCAGTCGTAGAGTTTTGTATTGGGGGCGAGAGTTTCTGGTGTTTTTCCCTTGTAACGCCAAATAACCTGTGCAAATACACATATGGAGAAAGTACTCTGTTACTAACATAACCTCTGTCCACTGAGATAACCGGAACGATTACTGTATCGCTAGATGCAATGTGGAAAACTACTTTTCCTCCGATTACTGAAGATTATAGAATAATGCAGAGAGATCCCTCTATATAAGCGGGCAATCGTCATAGGGAATCAGGTTCATTCGGTTGATATATTGTCATGATACACACACGGAAAAAGGTAAGATCCAATTGCAGTATTATATTAGGGTAATCCGTACTCACGAAAACCAGTCCAGGCAAGGGTCAAACTCCAAATAGTCAATCCAAGAACAAGAACATGACATGTAACAAGGACTCCATGACAAACTCTGACCAAACAGGGTTTACTGTATATACACACACACATATTAACAAGGTGACGGGAAATAGATATGTGCAATAATTAGTGATTAGCGACCAACTTTCGGATCCTGCACTTAAGCTTATAATTTTGTTTTTAAAAATATAATTATGTATTTAAAAGTTGCAGAATGGATTCATTTAGAGACTTTGTTATCGGCAGAGATAGGCAGCAATGCAAAACAAAATCTTATAGCTTGAACAACACTAGGCTGTTTTTTCTATCCGGTCTCGACTTGGTCTCGGTCTTGGTCTCGGTCTTGGTGTTGGTCTCGAATTGGTCTCGGTACTGGTCTCGGTCTTGGTCTGTCTTGGTGTTGGTCTCGAATTGGTCTCGGTACTGGTCTCGGTCTTGGTCTGTCTTGGTGTTGGTCTCGAATTGGTCTCGGTACTGGTCTCGACTTGGTCTCGGTCTTGGGCTCGAATTGGTCTGGGTCTTGGTTTCGACTTTGTCTTGGTCTCGGTCTTGGTCTGTCTTGGTGTTGGTCTCGAATTGGTCTCGGTACTGGTCTCGACTTGGTCTCGGTCTTGGTCTGTCTCGGTCTTGGTCTCGAATTGGTCTCGGTACTGGTCTCGACTTGGTCTCGGTCTTGGTCTGTCTTGGTGTTGGTCTCGAAATGGTCTCGGTACTGGTCTCGACTTAGTCTCGGTCTTGGGCTCGAATTGGTCTGGGTCTTGGTTTCGACTTTGTCTCGGTCATGGTCTCGACTTGGTCTCGGTCTTGGTCTCGATTTGTTCTCGGCCTTGGTCTCGACTTGCCCTCGATCTTGGTCTGTCCTGGTCTCGGTACTGGTCTCGACTTGGTCTGTCTTGGTCTAGGTCTTGGTCTCAAATTGGTCTCGATTTGGTCTCGGTCTTGGTCTCGACTTGGTCTTGGTCTGTCTTGGTGTTGGTCTCAAATTGGTCTCGGTACTTTTCTCGACTTGGTCTGTCTCGGTCTTGGTCTTGGTCTCGAAATGGTCTCGACTTGGTCTGTCTTGGTCTTGGTCTTGGTCTCGAACTGGTCTCGACTTGGTCTGTCTTGGTCTTGGTCTCGAATTGGTCTCAGTACTGGTCTCGACTTGGTCTGTCTTGGTCTTGGTCTCGGTCTGGACTTGGCCTGTCTTGGTCTTGTCTTAGTCTCGATAACCTCTGGTCTTGGTAGTGTCTTGGTCTCGGTTTAGGCGGTCTTGACTACAAGTCTAACAATGATCAATGATTGACAGAACAGGATGATAGGAAATGTAGTATGAGTGAATGACACTGTGGTGGAAGAGGACCCCTGGTGTTTACCCAGGGAACATAAGTGATGCGATCTGGGAAAACCCACCACATGGTGAAATTTGACATATTACAGGTTTTGAGACCATATTAAATTTGTTTTTATTTATTTTATCGTTTGTCTGTAACAAAAGTTATAGTTAGGCCTATCTGAAGTTGGCTGATCGCTATGATTTTCAGAAACAGAATTTTGAGAAAAACAGGTTTAATTAACGGTCACGTCCTGCTAGCGGGACGACTGGCGCTCCCTTTTTTATTGCCTTTTTTTCATATCACATATTTTAGTAACCATCATAGATTAGGTATCATTCGAAAGCCTACGAACTCAAAATTCAACAACCGTCAAAATTGGACGATTGAGAGGCGAGCAAGGTCTTTTAAACGAGCAGCTTCAAACTCTGTTTGTTCTCTTGTGCTCCGCATCACACCACACGATAACGCTGGATAAAAATAAATAAATAAATAAAAACTTTATTTATGCCGTTGTAGTTCACCCAGGACTGGACTTTATTCTGTTATGTGGTTTATTTTGATAGGTGAACTGTCTTTGTAGTGTTAAGAGAAGGAAGGTTTCCCCCTCCGCTCCGCCTGCGTGCGTGTTGTTAAAGAGAAACGCAGTCTTTTCAGCTGGCCATTATAAATCGCTATTTTTGTGCACTAAACTAGTGAATTTTCCCAAGTTATATTCAGAGATGATAAACAAGATGTTATACAATAATAATTTAATAAAAACCAAATTGACAAAAAACTGACATTCAATCTATATTTTGACTTTACTGAAAACGTACCAGAACGACATCCGACGGGTTTTCCCAGATCGCATCACATATATACTCTCAAGGCCCGAGCAGGGCAGAGTAATTAAGACTCCTGCTCACTCTCAGCGTCTTATTTCTACAGCTCGTTCCGCTAGTAAATTCATCACTTCGGTGCGAAGGACATGAGCCACGTTGCTCCCTATACCGAGGTGATGACAAGTGACGACACCCCAGAAGTGGAGAGGCCTGCAAGCAAATTGTAGCGAATAACCTTGTTTTACTGTGTGCAATGCCTATCTTGTAGAGCCCGACCGATAAAGGATTTTGAAGGCCTATACCAATAGAAATATTTTTGGGGTTTAAAATCCGATATATCGGCCGATATTTTATTTATTTTATTTTTTTTAAACTGGACATGATAGTCACAAATTTTGTCATGCTTATTTGAGTTAAGAGAACTGATGGGGATGTTCTTTTAATTGTTATTCAACCAATGTATGTCTCGTGACCAATTCAACGAGTGTTGCCAACAGGGACGGTTTAGAGCGCCCTCTGGTGGACAAACAACTCCAACACTCATGACATGGTTCAAGCGTGTTTCGTCCGTTTTTATTTTATTTTTTAAATATTCATTTATCGGCCATTATAACTGTCGATACCGATAGTTTGGAAAATGCCTAATATCGGCCGATAATATCGGTCTGCCGATATATCGGTCTGGCTCTACTATCTTGACACTCCGGGAATGGCTTTCCAACCTAAAAATAATTTCTAACCTAGGGGACTCTTCCTTCCTGAAGGATCCCGAAGCGCAGGATCCAGCGTTATCTTAGGCTAGGCCGGGGATTAGGGGTAGCTCAATGAGAGCAGTTCGTCTGAGTGAGCGCAGCTTCTGCGACGTGGTAGGATTAACTTTATTATTGCTATAAAGACATAAAAAAAGTTACACACCTTTTGTGGGATCTGACCGAGAGCAGAAGCTATAGTGTTTGATCTTTCCAATGTCAGGTTGTTGATCATGGAACCCAATGAGAAAACAACAATGCCATGATCTCCTGAGCTCTGAACAAACTTCTCCAGTTCCTAAAAGACAGAAAACAAGAAAACAAGACTTGAACCATGTAAACTACTTAACAGTAAACATATTTACATAGGAAATAGAAATGTATCACTCTCTCTGAATCAATTCTTAGTGCGCATGTGAACGCCATCAGCATTTATCACAGGTTTCGAGATTAAAGTCGTTTTAGAGTGAACGGAGTCATCTTAGCAGCCCCTAATTTAATAACAAATGAGCATTTCGAGGGAAGTGAATCAACCAAAACTAACTATAGTTGGAAAATAATTATTCAAGAAGCTATAAAAGCTATATAAATGAGGATGACTTGACATAATGCACTCTAACGCACCCTGAAAACTTGATATTTCTGCCAAAGTTCAAGTTTGTCCCTGATTGTAGATGACATAATTGCACTAACTGGGTCCAAAAAGCATTTCCCCCTAAACGACTGTCGTACTAAAGTTGATGTGTATTACTGCATGCATCAATATTGTATTGTGCAATATGTCATTACTGTTATTTCATGCACTGAACCATGCAAATTCAGTTTGGTGAAATTATAAATAACAGTATCAACAGATCAGGTGTTTGGCTCAAAAAATATTCTTGTGCTGAGTTACAAAACTACGGAAGCATATTGCATTCACTTGAAGAAAAAAAATCTACTCTGTTTTTCTGAATTAACGAGTTAATTTTTCATGAGAAAAAATTTTGCTCTGTTTTTCTGAATTAACGAGTTAATTTTTCATGAGAAATTTTTTTTTGCTCTGTTTTTCTGAATTAATAAGTTAATTTTTCATGAGAAAAAAAATTTTGCTCTGTTTTTCTGAATTAATGAGTTAATTTTTCATGAGAAAAAAAATTTTGCTCTGTTTTTCTGAATTAACGAGTTAATTTTTCATGAGAATTTTTTTTGCTCTGTTTTTCTGAATTAACGAGTTAATTTTTCATGAGAATTTTTTTTGCTCTGTTTTTCTGAATTAATGAGTTAATTTTTAATGGAATTTTTTTTTTGCTCTGTTTTTCTGAATTAATGAGTTAATTTAGAAAAACAGCAAAAATAAATTCTCATGAAAAATTAACGCATTAATTCAGAAAAACAGAGCAAAAACTTTTCTCATGAAAAATTAACTCATTAATTCAGAAAAACAGAGCAAAAACTTTTTTCTCATGAAAAATTAACTCATTAATTCAGAAAAACAGAGCAAAAACATTTTTTTTTCTTCAAGTGAATGCAATACGCCTCCGTACAAAACTAATATAAAAATTCTGTACATTTTCTGCCCTGATATGCAAATTCTCCCTTTACACAGCTTTCAATAACCGACCTAAACGGAAGATATTTATGCAGTTTACAAAATGGGATGACATTACAGTTTCTTTTAAGATCCAAAGAGCCAAACCCCTCCCCAAAGTTACAATGTTACTTGATCTATTCAAGCGAGAATTCCTTAATTTACAAATAACGCTTGTTTTAATACAAATAAAAATAAAATGTAAAGACATCAAAAACATTTCAGAAGTGTTTCAAAATAATACATGGCAAAGCAAAGTCGTTACCTTTGGCAGAGGTTTGGCGGGTTTGCAGTGCAGTCCCCCAACAAATTTAAAATTAGGCAGGAGTGGGCGTGGATACTCAAAATCCCAGTAAGTTCTAATCAACCAGATGTCCGCTTTCCCCATGGTCTCGCACATTGTTGTAGGTTTGCCTGTGACATAAGAAATATTTCTACTCAGTTGATGTACAGCAGGTTTAAGTCTGCACTATTAAAGGTGCATTGCGCAAGTCTCTGAGTTTTTGCAGAACTACGCCCCCTCTGGCGACAAGCGAAACTGCAACCAGAAGTGTGCACGCAAAGGGACCACACACACACGCTTGCACAAGCTGTTCATAACCAAAGGAGCATCAGCAGCACACATCTTTTGTTTCAGTCATAATATCTTCAGAGGTAATAAAGTTATAAATCTGCAAGTCATTTTAAATATATGAAAGGAAAGGCATTTGAGTAAATTACACACTTATGTGTGTGTGAGGGGAAAACTTTGGTCTTTGTTTCCATCTCTCTCCATGTTGAACTGTTTTATGTGTTTACTGTTTCCACTTATGATTGTATTATTATGAAACACGTTCATGAACAATATTACAATATTTAACAATATTTAAAGTTATTACTTTGTATAGGACCCGTTTGAGCCCTAGAGCCGACCGGAGATCTCTCCGTTTGTTGAAAGCTTCCCGATGTCGACTCTCGTCTTATTCCGACGCCTGACGCTAGACAAACGTTTTTTTTTCTTTGTCTTACGTGGAGTTTGCGTCGGGGTTTGGAGTTAAGCCGGTCTCTTTGAATCCATCTTCTACTTTTGTGGAAAGTTGACTAAAGTTGTCTTCGCTGATACGGAGAATGGCGGCGAATACACAAACCTGCCAGACATCGCCAGGCGAGCGTGAACGCGCATAACGTCACGTCCAGTCTCAAATCCATCTTATTTATTTTACTGTACACACTGTAAAAAAATATTTTCAAGATTTGTTATCACGACATATTTTCTTTTGTCAAATCAACTTTATAATAATTTATTTAGTTGAGATAACTTATTATTTTGAGTTTCTGATGATTAAATTAATCTCCTTCTTTGTATGAACTCACTTTTTCCAGTTCAATCAACATGAAATTTTAAGGCAACCTACACTGAAAAAAAATAATAATATGCTTTATCTAATCAATAAAATTGTGGCAACATATTACAAGCAATATTATTAATTAAATTGTACAAATTAGAATTAATTAGAATATGAATTTGATTAACTATTACTCAATTCTTATTTGTTCAATTTAATAAATAATATTGCTTGTAATCTGTTGCCACAATTTTATTGATTAGATAAAGCATATTCATTTTTACAGTGCAGGTTACTTACTTTTTTAAGTTAAACCAACAATATTTTTTTTTTACAGTGTAGTAAATCACAACATTTTTTCTTTTGTCAAATCAACTTAAATAATTTATTTAGTTCAGATAACATATAATTTTGAGTTTCAGATGATTAAATCATTCTCCTTCATTGTATGAACTCACTTTTTCCAGTTCAATGAACTTAAAATTTTAAGGCAACCAGGTTACTTACTTTTTTAAGTTAAACCATCAATATTTTTTTACTGTACAGGATTATAGAGGCGATCGCAGTGATCAAAGAAGGGCTCATTCAGCAAGGCAATTGTTCAAGCATGTATGGGTTAAAAAAACGGCTATTTTTAACATGAAATGTTGCGCAATGCACCTTTAAAGCATAAAAGTCAGCCTAGATCCAAAAAAAAAAAAACAGTTACCCCGTAATTCAGTGTAAAGCCGGTCAAAAGTAAACCTCGTGTTCAATTGAAATATGATTGCATGCATGATGTAGAGGAGCATGTTTTCAACTCTCTCTGTGAAGCTCATATGGTCAGTGAGATGATCCTGCACAGCGACCGCAGGAACATATGATGGTGGTGTGGGGATCTGACCGCAAAACTGCTCGAAACTATATGCGAACGTCGAGCGAAGTGAAAGGACGTACGGGATTTGCAGCGTCTCTGCCATCAAGTCAGCGCATGGCATCATCGGATCCGATAAAAGCACATCATAATGAGATTCCCGAAGCGTGTGTAAAAGATCCTCATTGTGGAACATTCCCTTGCATGTATCGGTAGAAAGCACCAAGAAGTTTGACATCACTCGCCTGAACATGGAGACTTTCTCGTATAATGTGGTGGCTGCGTCGGTCATCCAGAGATTAATAAAGTCCATCCATACGCCATTGGCCTCTTCTTTCTTCATGTTGACTTTAAACACGTTGAAGGTGAACCGCTCCTTCCGTGTGTACTGCACAGTAGGAGATGAAGAACCGATCAGAACCGTCACGCTGTGGTTCTTATCGACTAACGCGTCTACGATTGAATGCATGTTGTGCCAGTGGCTGTACTCGCCTGGCAACACCAAAACCCTGCCCGCCTCGACTCCACACAACAGTACGAACACAAGCAAAGTCCCAGAAAGCATGGTCATGTGTCTGTGCCTTTAGAAAAGTGCAGTGTTGATCTATGGAGCAGTGACCCAAATGCAAGATTTGCACAACGGGACTTGGGCAAAGGTCGTGTTGCATTATGGAGGGTATAGGTGCACTTTGTCATTTTGCCAAAGGATAATAGCTTTAATTGCACTTTCACTCAATTCCCACTTATTTTCCAATACTGAAAGGAATATGTAAATGTTGGGTTTATTATAACCTTTTCTAGTTCATTTCTAACATGACAACCCCTAGTAAAAAAATTATACTCTATTGTATTTGAAATATATCCCTTTTTCAATAGTACATTGCAAATACTACAGTGTAAAAATGAATATGCTTTATCTAATCAAAAAAATGTGGCAACAGATTACAAGCAATATTATTAATTACATTTAACAAATTAGAATTGAGTAATAATTAATCAAATTAATTCCTTAAAAGTTAACAATTTAAAATGAGTAAAACTTACAACAAAACAACAACCAAAAAAACATAAATTGAAGTCACCATTATGGTGATCAGTGTTTGTTTTAAAATGTGTTTTTAAAGGTGTCTTCAATGTTGGCAATATAAAATAAAGAGTACTGTCTGTTAGTGAGATATTTTTGGGTGTAAACTTTACTCAGTTTAAATGGTTAACTTTTATTCTTTTCAGTTTAATCAAAGGAATAATTTGATTAATTATTACTCAATTCTAATTTGTTAAATTTAATTAATAATGCTGCTTGTAATCTGTTGCCACAATTCTATTGATTAGATAAAGCATATTTATTTTTACAGTGTACCACATTTTGCTATCTTTAAATATATTGAAAGTATATTAGCATCAGGCTTTTACCTATTTTCACAATACAACTTTTAACACACTTTAAAATAATTGTTCTTTAGTACATTTTCTAATATATATATATATATATATATATATATTAAAGTGTTTTTATTTGCACTTTATTAAAAATGTATTTTAGGTATATCAGTGTGCTGGAAATGATCATGGTATCGATGCATTGAAAGTATACTTTCTAAATACCTTATAGTATTTTGGACAGAATAAATAAATCAAATTTCAGAGAAAGTTTGTCTCAATCTTTTCCACTGGCCAAATATTTTTAATTGCTTTATTTTTTAATGGAAACAGACAGGCCTTATTGTGCATTATTGACCATAATTTGCATTGAAATATTTTCTCAGACCATAATAGTTATGCTATTATCGCTGTATTTAAAACATTTAAACACAGCATGGCACAGGAAAAGTGTTCAACAGCAGCATCATATAAAAATGTTGTAACTAGGCCTACTCTGTGATGTTTTCATGTATTTGAAGTGCGTAACTCCATTAATGAGAACGCCATATTTAATCTAAATATGTATATCAGATGTAAAACATAGTTTAAATCCTTATTTTATTTATTTAAACTATTATTGTGAACATGCACTGTATTTATGATTTATGATGAATATTTAAAGTGGTTTCTATGGAGCAAATTATGTGCCAATATTAAACAAACAAAAGCATTTTGCAAACAAACTCCATCTTGCTTTGCAAAGGAAAACTCGACTCACAAACAAACAGAAAGCAATTTGCAAAAACAACGGCCAATTTGAGCGAAAATGCAGTGGTTCAGTGTTGTATAGAAAATATTGAAAACATTTCACTAATAAAAGCAAGACATTTTCCTAATTTTTTTAAGGACACGTAGGCTACGCAATTTTGAGGCTTGAATTGAGGAACTCTTTCAGGGCCTTTTTTTGTGCGTACACATGACGGTTCGGCACGCATGTGATTCGAGGATTAACTTTTCCTCTGCGGTCGCCCTACAGGTTGGAAGTGGAATAGTCGCTGTGGTATGCTAAATAGTTCAGCCTAGCGCATCCTACTGTCACGCACACACTCGTTGTTTATCTGGCACCAGCTTTGGAATGAACGATATCTACAGACAAGGTAATGTACGTTGCATGATTTCATGAGAGTATGATGTATTGCGACATCAGAAACTAAGAAAAACAAAATAATGACTATTGTAACGCTTGACGTAAAGCAAGTCAAATTTGTAGTTTTTAAAATTTGTAGTTTTCGTATAGAAACGCAACCCGATCTGGCAATCTTACATAGCGTGGTTACAGCAGATATAGGAGCGAATCCAGAAGTGCCTTTCACCCTGTTACGACTTAATGAACCACTGAAATGATTTCGTAAACATTATTTTAAGGTAAAAAATCTTACTTAGTGTTGCTTTAACTGCTAAAGTTAACCATCATTGAGTGAACGTTTGTTTGTTGCCTTTGATATCCCACAATCCTGTGCTTTCCATTATGTGATAGTTGAGCTAAAAAACAAAGATGGCGTCTGAAAGTTGCAGCTGGTCTTCAGTTTGTGTGTAAATATACATTTTTGATCCATGTTTTCGCAGTCTGTGAAATATTCCACATTAAAGAGAGAATGTCATGCATCAGTTCGGCCGGCAGCTTAATTGTTTTGGACAAAATCTGGATGTCACTAGGCTATCAATAATTCCCTTCAGAGGGATGGGTTTCATTGGAATAGCCATGTGGACTTTTATTCACAGAAGCCTATATAGGCTATGCAACAATGACAGCGTCACTTGCAAAAATATTAGGCCTATCAAGAATTTAATTTCAACTAACGTTAGTAGAAACTATAATTCGTGCTATCTGTAATTTATTTCCACTAGTTATATATCACCTCAGGCTGTGATTCAAATTCAATTGTTGATAGAATTGATTTCTTATAGTTGAAATTCCAAATTCTTATATAAAAAATAAAATCATAATTTCCAATATAATTAGTAACTTACTACCACGTATTACCACACATTTTATTTTTTCAAAAATTATATTTCTACTAAGTAATGCATAGCTGATGTGTTTCAAGTAGCATTCTTGATATGAAGAGTTCAGATGCAAAAGCCTCTAAATGCCATTTGAAATTTTCTTCTTTAATGATGATTTTTATCAAACTTGTATATTTAAGTTCAGTAATTTCACTTAAATGGCAATGATAATTACCTATTAATTGTTATTTAAGTGAAATTACTGAACTTAAATATACAAGTTTGATAAAAATCATCATTAAAGAAGAAAATTTCAAATGGCATTTAGAGGCTTTTGCATCTGAACTCTTCATATCAACAACTGAATTTGAATGGCAGCCTATAGTGAAAAATCTACTTTCTTATATCAAGAATTAGTATTTCAAAAAGTGAAAATGTAATTATTGATATCAATAATACTGGGAAATGGGAATATGTATAAATGTCAAAACGCAGACAGCATGCTCCAGTGGACATTTTGATTTTCTCACACAATTGCAAGTTTCCATCTCACTAAAAGCCTGACGTGTGAGGAGATAAACTACATTTTACACAATAGTCTATAAAGAAATTGATGAGAGAAAAAAAATACACACCCGTGAACCCTTACCTAATATTTCACTGTAGTAATTATCCAATCTCATCGAGGCCATCCGAAACCCGACGGAATAAACAACATACATAATCATATTTTTCACTCTTTCCATGAAGCACATGTGATCTGTCATCACCGTCGGAGGAACCGGTACATAAGAGGGCGGTGAGGGCATCTGTCCACACATCCTCTCCATGGAAAACCCCAGTGAAAACCGCAGAGAAAGGACGAGTGGCAGGTCCAGAATCTCCGCCAGCAAGTCACTGCACAGGAACATGGGATCATAGAAGAGCACGTCAAACTTTAGATCCCTCAAGCGCGCGATCAGCGCGTCATTACGCAGCATGGAGTCGCACAAGATGCGCTGAAATTCGATCATTTTCCCCGTAAACTCCACGATCTGGAGACCAATTGTGACCCTGCTTGGTGTGGGGTACTGCATCCAGATGTTGATCAGCTGTTCGCTCACACTGTGCACCTCGTGCGCATTCAGAGGCACGTCAAACACCAGGAACTGAAACCTCTCCTGCGCTGTGAAGTTTACGGACGGCGAGGCTGAGTTCACCAGAACGGTCACACTGTGATTGCGGTTCAGAAGCTCGTCCACGATGTTGCGCATGTTGTACCAGTGGCTGTATTCTCCCGGCAGCACGAGCACATTGCCACCGTGCGTAAAGCTCACGTCAGTCAATAGGAAGATTATGAAAAGGGTGCATGACTTTCCCAAACTGTGCATGGCAGAAACACTCGTGAAGACGCAGCAGATAACCACCTTTTCCAGGGCAAGAGGTTTTAGAGTGAAGGGCGGAACAGCGGGACTTTGGAGGAAAGTGACGTCACGCAGGAGTCAGGAAAGAGCTCGCAGAAAAACGTTTTACGTAACTGCACTTGCCAACTATGTCAATAAAATAAAAGGTTAAGTAGGCTATAGGCTACATAACGAGAGAATGTAGGCTTCGTTGATTTTTTTTAAGTGCACTTTTAATGTCAAAACGTTTTTACTTTAAAGTACATTTTAAATCATGTTTTAATAATCTTTGCTTTAATAGCCTACACGTATTTTGATGTCAACTAACATAAAGTAACATAATGTAAAGTATTTGATTATAATTTTAACTATCTTGTATTACATTTAAAGTTAATATATTTTAAATGTACTGAATTGCAACTCATCATTACAATAGAAATATGTAAATACAAATAAATTCTAATATGTGACATACAAGTTTCAATAGAAATGACTTTAAAGTAGCCTATATTTCAGCTAACCACAAATATTACAAAGACAAAAGAAGCAACAAGCCGATGAAATTATGTAATGATATACTTAAGTCCAACTTAAATGTATTAAAAAGCACTCTTAAGTTCAGCTAAGTGCATTTAATAAAAATTTAAACTATAATACATTTAATTGCAAGTAACATGCAGAACTGTCAAAAATCATTACAGTCAGTTTGCAATTAACATGCATTTCCATTATAATTACTCATTTTAAAAGTATGCAACTGTGTACTTTTTCATAAAGATAATTACATTAATAAACAAAATTAGCATGAAAATAAGTGCATAATCTGGAGGGACCTGAGCAGTTTGAGGATAGTGCCACCTACAAGTCATTAAAAAAAAGCTTTTTTTTTTGTTTTGTTTTTTGCCTAAAACGTTTGAATACTTTGTGCCAAAATGTCATGAAACTGGTCTCATGTTTTTGGACTCCTTTGGCCATAAAGCCAGGAAAATGTATCAAGCATTTTTTGAACAGAAAAAAATTAAATGTCCCTTCACTACAAAGGGTTAATTAGGATAATCTGGTATCTGGGAGAAAAAAAAAGTTGCTGTAAATATAAATTTATAAAAAAAATATATAAGAGGTTTGCTTGTCATTTAAAAGGGACCAATATAAATACAGTATGTTCCTGACTGGCACAAGTACATTTGCACAAACATACCACATACTGTACATCATTAGATACAAGTTCGGAACATTATTGCTTTGTCAATGTGAATATGTAATGTAAATCTTTTGACAGTTAGGGTCTATTTTATCCCACACTTTTGCCCCGTTCTCCTCAATGACATGAACTCATACGGAGATCCCATCCCAACTCATGGAATTTTAAACATTGCATTATGCAATAAATATATGTAATAAACTTGTCTTTCTAAAAGGCTTTACTAGTAGATCTAATATCACATTTAATAAAACAAAATTATTGTACATCTCATAAATTGTGTATCCGTCAGGAAATACTTTCAGGGGTAGTGAGTAACAATAAGGAAGTTTTATTCTACACAGGTGAATGGTAAATATATTGCTGGTAAACAACAGCCAGGAAGACGATGATGAAGATGAAGCAGTTGAACACGGGTACTGTGCACCACACACACATACCAGTATTGCACTGAGTACTGAACTGATGAGAAGTTTTTCTTACAGAGACAGGGAGGATGATGGGAACTGTAGTGCTGAGGTGACAGGTGAATCGTAACAGTAAAGGTAAGTTATTTCCTGAAACAGACTCAGGGATAATCCTTTCCGGAACAGATTTGGGGATTTAACACACAGGAGTCTCTCTCGCTGGAATGGACTCTGTGATCTCTCTCACTGGAACGGACTCTGTGATCTCTCTCACTGGAACGGACTCGCGAATCTCTCTCACTGGAACGGACTCGGGAATCTCTCTCACTGGAACGGACTCGGGAATCTCTCTCACTGGAATGGACTCAGGAATCTCTCTCACTGGAACGGACTCAGGAATCTCTCTCACTGGAACGAACTCGGGAATCTCACTCACTGGAACGGACTCTGTGATCTCTCTCACTGGAACGGACTCTGTGATCTCTCTCACTGGAACGAACTCGGGAATCTCACTCACTGGAACGCACTCTGTGATCTCTCTCACTGGAACGGACTCGCGAATCTCTCTCACTGGAACGGACTCAGGAATCTCTCTCACTGGAACGGACTCAGGAATCTCTCTCACTGGAACGGACTCAGGAATCTCTCTCACTGAAACGGACTCGAGTCGGGAATCTCTCTCACTGGAACAGACTCTGTGATCTCTCTCACTGGAACGGACTCTGTGATCTCTCTCACTGGAACGCACTCGGGAATCCCTCTCACTGGAACGCACTCGGGAATCTCTCTCACTGGAACGGACTCGGGAATCTCTCTCACTGGAACGGACTCGGGAATCTCTCTCACTGGAACGGACTCGGGAATCTCACTCACTGGAACGGACTCTGTGATCTCTCTCACTGGAACGGACTCTGTGATCTCTCTCACTGGAACGCACTCGGGAATCTCTCTCACTGGAACGGACTCGGGAATCTCACTCACTGGAACGGACTCTGTGATCTCTCTCACTGGAACGGACTCGGGAATCTCACTCACTGGAACGGACTCGGGAATCTCTCTCACTGGAACGGACTCGGGAATCTCACTCACTGGAACGGACTCTGTGATCTCTCTCACTGGAACGGACTCGGGAATCTCACTCACTGGAACGGACTCTGTGATCTCTCTCACTGGAACGCACTCGGGAATCTCTCTCACTGGAACGGACTCGGGAATCTCACTCACTGGAACGGACTCTGTGATCTCTCTCACTGGAACGCACTCGGGAATCTCTCTCACTGGAATGGACTCAGGAATCTCGGGAATCTCACTCACTGGAACGGACTCTGGAATCTCTCTCACTGGAATGGACTCAGGAATCTCGGGAATCTCACTCACTGGAACGCACTCGGGAATCTCTCTCACTGGAATGGACTCGGGAATCTCTCTCACTGGAATGGACTCGGGAATCTCTCTCACTGGAATGGACTCAGGAATCTCGGGAATCTCACTCACTGGAACGCACTCGGGAATCTCTCTCACTGGAATGGACTCGGGAATCTCTCTCACTGGAATGGACTCGGGAATCTCTCTCACTGGAATGGACTCAGAAATCTCGGGAATCTCACTCACTGGAACGGACTCGGGAATCTCTCTCACTGAAACGGACTCTGGAATCTCTCTCACTGGAACAGAATCTGTGATCTTTCTCACTGGAACGGACTTGGTAATCTCTCTCCTTGCAATGGACTCAGTGATCTCACTCACTGGAGGGGACTCTTGGTCTGGTGAAATTCTCGAACTGATTCTAGGACTGGAGTGAACTCCTGGACAGACTCATGGATCTGAGCAAACTCTTGAGTGCATTCTGAATTGGTTTGAATTTAGATTGGTTGGGATTGGAGTGGATTCTGATTTAGCCGGGACTGGAGCGGACGGAGTCTTTCGGGAGTGGTCCTGCTGAGTAGGAGAGCAGAGAGAATATATTGCTCTAATATGTAGCCATGCATCCTGTGTGCATATTGGCACCTACTTTTGCTATCTACTTATTTATTCCTACTTTTATAATTACTCTATGCTCCATCCAATTCCTAGGTCCTACCTGGTGCTGCGTGCATGAGGGTGATTACTGGCAGGCATACGGGTAATGGATTATGTAATGTGTGCAGTTGAGAGTCAGAAAAGATGAAGGGAAATGTAGTGCAGAGGTAATAGGTGGACACATGGAGTAAATTAATGCTCTTGATAGCTTTGAAAAAGAAAGATTTCAAAGTGCATAAGGCACCAAATGGTAGGAACTGCCCATATAATCTTCTGATAATGTATTGTAGTTGCACTACTCCAGTGCACTTGAGGTTGAAATTACATGACATGCACATTATCAGTGGTTTTATGTTTCTTGTAGTGTGTGTAAAGGTTGAGGCTATTCAGAATGACAATGAAGTTTTTTATAAGGATAAGGTAAGCTATTCAAAGGGATTTGGGGCTCTATACAACCTTCTAACTCATGTGGTTCAGTTGCTTATTGGTCAGATAGGACTTTGACTAGTCTATAGAATATAATAAAACACTTTTGAAAGTTGCCAGAGGGCAAAGGTTGAATTGGTTACCCAGAATTTGTTACATTTTTCATGTTTGTTCATGTTTAAGACCATTTGTAAACATATCCTGGTTGTATGCTCAAGTGTTACATGACACTGATTCAGAACACAGGAATTAAGAGGGTGTGGCTCAAGAAAGGAAAATCCTGTGTTTCACAATTTTTTATGTGGAGGACTGTAATATATATTACATGTAGACTGTAATATATATATATATATATATATATATGAAGAGTTCAGATGCAAAAGCCTCTAAGTGCCATTTGAAATTTTGTTCTAGAATGACCATTTTTATCAAGCGTGTGTATTTAAGTTCAGTAATTTCACTTAAATGACAATTAATAGGTAATCTTCATTGCCATTTAAGTGAAATTACTGAACTTAAATATACAAGCTTGATAAAAATGATAATTTTAGAAGAAAATTTCAAATGGCACTTAGAGGCTTTTGCATCTGAACTCTTCATATATATATATATATATATATATATTTTTTTTTTTTTAAATAAATAACCTTGGTTAAAGTTTTGATCTGAAATGACGAATTGTGTCACATAGTGAAGTTTTGGTTCTTTGAGCTCATTTTAATTTCCTGTGTTTAATCCCGGTTTTATATCCTTAATGATTATGTAAATATATCGTGGATTCCTATGCTTTTGTCAACTGGCCCAATCTCCACATTGCCATGATTACACCACAACTCAGCTATAATAAGGGAAGTCTTTCATCCATATTGTCAAATATGTCAGAGTGAATCTTTTTTTCTTTAATAAGACGTAACACGGGACTTGATTTTTTTCCATCTGGAATTGATTAGATCGTAGTTGTTTGTTTGTGACAGGTGGTCCAATGTTGATTTTAACATATCTTGGTATATAACAACAAAGGTAGACATTTCATGGAATATATAGTTGCCCTATATTACCCTCTACATACATTGAACCTATAGGGCTTGTAAACAGCAATAAAAGAGTGGCCTGAGCTTTTTTTCCAACCAATCAGAAAACACTTTCTGCCTGTCAATCATTTTTCATGAGTTTGTAGAGAGGGAGGAGCTTGTTGTGCAAGGATCACAAGTGTGTTTTCCTTCATGACATCATCACTGCCTCTCAACAGGGGCAAGCGGTCACCAAAATCAATTTTACCTGCGTCTAATTGAAAATAAACCTACACTAAACAATATTGTGGCACAAATTTAAGAGTTATGTACTTGAAATGTATTTAAATCGTTCAACCATTTGTGTATTTAAATCTTTCAACCACATGTTTGTCAGTTTATTACTAACTATTTGCATCTATTTTATTTTATTAAAAAAAATGTTTAGATTCAGCATTGTGGAAAAAAATTAAATTTAGAATGAAGATGGTTAAAATATGGCTAGCTGACAAACAGTTAAAATGAATGAGATAGAAACAAGTTCAATTTATTGATAAATATATAATTGAGCATTTAAAACACTTTTGTTTACTAATACAATTACAGATGTATCTCACCCGTTTCTTGATTGATTGATTTATTTTACTAGCAAAATCTAACAAAAATTAAATAATGCTCGTTAAAAAAAACAACTTTACTAACACAATTATATAAGAAAAGAGGAATCACTATCAGAGCATTAAAAAGGAAGCACAGACTTAAGTCTTTTAGCTATAATAATTGTTTTGGTATCTGATTAGGTTTTATTTTTGAAAGCAATTGGTTCCTAAATTTGCTTCTGAACTATTCTCAATTATTGGTCACATTCGGTTATATGTAAAAACTGTAATGCAATGCAAATACATGAATCTTACACTGAGGCCTATTATCTAATAAAACATTTATGAAGAGGCAACTTATTGTATCAATGCAAAGGCAATACAGAAATGAAATGCAAGCGTTCTTACTTACCCAGGATTTCAGTATAAAAGTGATCCCACTTTGATTTAGTGACTAGATAAAACACAAAATCCTGTCCACCATAGGAGAGAACATTTTTCAGTCTCTGCAAGAAGTTCATGTCATCTGTTTTCTCCGAGCCGATGGAAGGGACGTAGGATGGCGGAGCCGGCAGTTGTGCGCAAAGTCTCTCCAATGTGTTACCAAAGGAAAACCTGAGACTGAGAATAAAAGGTAAGTTCAACTTCTCTGCCAGCAGCTCCCCACACATGAACATTGGGTCGGCCAGTAATGCGTCAAACTTCTCTTCTCTCCACTTCTCGAGGAGATCTTCTCTGGCAAAGAGTTGAGAGCACACGGCCTGATTCTGCTCTGTGCCGATGTCAACCATCTCCTTGATCTTCAGTGAAGCCTTGATGATGTTGTCATTCGGGAGCTCATGAGTCCAGTATTTCAGCATCCTTTCCATGTTCTCCAGGATCTCCTGCTTTGTGTGAGGAACCTGTAAAATCTCCACATTGTAGCCCTCGGATGGAGTGGTTTTGACAGACGGTGTGGCCGTGTGGGTGACTACTGTGATATTATGTCCTCTTTCGATTAATGTGTCTATGATGACTTTTACATTGAGCCAGTGGCTGAATTCGGCAGGCCAGACAAGGATCTTCCCTCCTGACACACACTGCAGGTTCAGGTTCAGCAGAACAAGCAAAAGGAAAAGACTGCTGCTTCTTCTGGGACTCATGACAGCGGAGAACAAACTTCTGCGCACAGCAAGCAGGATCAGCATGTGGAGGAGGAGGAGCTACTGACTGGCAGCACATGGAAACATGTAAAGACAAAGTTATGCAATCAAATAGAGGTGAAGGTCTTGCCCGAGCTTGTTTTAAAGAAATAGTAACTATTGATAGACCCTCTGTTAGCATCTATATTCTCAATGCCTTCATAACATCAGCTTGCTGCTTATTCACTTTTTATATATATTTATTTCACTGGCAGGGAAATCTCACTGTAAAAAATATTTTCAAGATTTGTTATCATAACATATTTTCTTTTGTCAAATCAACTTTATAATAATTTATTTAGTTGAGATAACTTATTATTTTGAGTTTCTGATGGTTAAATTAATCCCCTTCATTGTATTAACTCACTTTTTCCAGTTCAATCAACTTAAAATTTTAAGGCAACCAGGTTACTTACTTTTTTAAGTTAAACCAACAATATTTTAACATTTTTTTTCATTTGTCAAATCAACTTAAATAATTTATTTAGTTCAGATAACATATAATTTTGAGTTTCTGATGGTTAAATTAATCTCCTTCATTGTATTAACTCACTTTTTCCAGTTCAATCAACTTAAAATTTTAAGGCAACCAGGTTACTTACTTTTTTAAGTTAAACCAACATTATTTTTTTACAGTTAAGGAATGCTCATTAAAAAACGTCACTTTCACAATTAAGAAAAGGGGAATCACTATTAGAGCATTAAAAAAAGAAAAGCACAGGCTTTTTAGAATTATTAAGGTGCTCTAATTTGGATTTATTTAAGCAATACATATAGGCATTTGGTAAATATGCCTTGAATTCAGTAGTGTCTAAGCGTATTATAGGCTATCTATAATAGCATTGAATAGTCTTATAGAATAGACTTTTTAATCTATTGAATTTAATTAACAATGTACAATTATGCAAGTAATAAAGTTATTATAAGCTTAATATACTATAATTACCGAAGGTTACGCTGTAAAATCGCTTTAATTACGCAGTAGCCTGCTTTCTGGGCTGTAATCTAAAGCATTACCCAAATACAGAAGTTTAGGGATGAATTTTGTGCAATAAACACTACACTATTTCAAAATAAGTGAGTAATTGTTTCTTCATAGATGATAAAAGGAAGCAACTGGGGGGAAATACTGTCATTAAACCAAAAGTTCATAGTAAAGTTCCAGGCAGTTATTAAAAAGAAAGAAACCCTCCCAGAAGATTTTTTTTTTATTTGAAAAAAAAAAAAAAAACAGAAGTCTTTCCATTCTTGCTCACTAACTTTATCAGTCAAAGATATCTGCGTTTAATTAAGAATTGATCTAATATTATTTGAAAAACTAGATTAGAGTAGTCAACATTGGAAAGGGAGAATTAGGACCACGAAGACAGACTTGACTAGTAATTTGACACGATATTGGAAAAGATTTTTTGCACAGTGTTCAACCATGGACAGAAAACCTCTGTCAACCTCTGTGTTCAACCATAGAAAGTAAACACGTGTAGGTTGCGTCATCAGAGTGCGACGCAGCATCAGAATGCTGACATGGCCGCGTCCGTGGAGCTGAGACTCACTTTATGGATCTGTTTTGTGTTTATTTTGGGGTTTTCTTCGGTCACCGCGCTCATCGAGGGACTGTATTGCGGGACTCAGAGTTGCTATGACGTGCTTGGGGTTTCGCGTGAGTCCAGTAAAGCGGAGATCGGTCGCGCGTACCGCCAGCTGGCCCGAAAATACCACCCGGACCGGTACCAGCCCGGAGAGACCGGAGACACCCGCGAGACCGCGCAGCAAAAGTTTCTGCTCGTCGCTACCGCTTACGAGACACTCAAGGTAGCGTGAACCCCGAATAAAAGCGACTGTTTGCATGTAACTGTTAGTCGTCTTGAATTTGCGCGTGAGAAATCTAACATCTTCATTCCGATTGCGCGTACAATTCAGTTAAAGGGATAGTTCACTCAAAAATAAAAATTCTGTCATTGTCATTCAGCTTGTTCTCATTACAAACCCATAAGACTTTATATCTTCGGAACACAAATTAAGATATTATTTTAATGAAATCTGAGAGATTTCTGCCCCTCCATTGACAGCTACGTAACTACCACATTGACGCTTACAAAAAGTTAATAAAGAGAACGTAAATATTCCATATGAATTGAGTCCAAATTTTCCAAAACGACGTGGTCACTTTGTTTGATGAACAGACTTTTATTCATATTAAAGCATACTAGCTAAACGCAAGCTTAAGCGTGAGAACCAATGAAGTTTTTTCTCATTATGAGCCTCTTCCTCAAGAAGCAATTTGGTCTTGAAGCGAACATGCTTGAGCTTCAGTTTACCACGGCTGAAATCTGTTCATCATTTAAACCGATCGTTTCTCTTCAGAAAATTTTGACTAAAACCGTTAAATTTGTTTTGCGATCTCTATGAAGTTTTTTGAAGCTTCAAGTGTGGTAGTTGCGTAGCTGTCAATGAGGCACAAAAAAAGCTCTCAGATTTCGTCAAAAAGATCTTCATTTGTGTTTCGAAAAATGAATAAAGGTCTTACGGTTTTGGAACGACATGAGGTCGAGTAATTAATGACGACATTAAATTTTTTGGGTGAACTATCCCTTTAAAACAGAAGTCTGCAACTTCGTAAAGTTGTGGTCACGTTAGTGAAATTTCAGAAGCAAATCATACGACCAACTTCAACCCGATGTGAAATTTGTGGTTGATCTTTTAAGATTTAAGACACAGTCTATAGTCATAACAGCTGAGCTAAATAGACTGTAAGATCTCTAATATTGTGATTTTCAGGATGAAGAGTTACGTAGGGACTATGACTACATGCTGGACCACCCGGAGGAATATTACAGCCACTACTACACCTACTACAGGAGAAGACTTGCTCCCAAAGTAGACGTTAGGATAGTGATTCTCGTAACTATTTGTGCAATCTCACTGTTTCAGGTAAGCTGTTCACTTACACACTTCCTTGAAAAAGCCAACATGCTGACGAGTTTCTTCATCATCTTCCTAATTTTGCTGCTCTGAATAAGTTTAGATTCTGTAAATCTCAGTGACTCCAATTTTACGTGTATCGTTTACAGACTCTCATGACGAAAACCAAAATAATTTGGGTTTGTAATAATAATAATTGTAATAATTTTTTTATAATTTGTAAATTTCACCAATTGGTTGCACAGCAACAAGTGCAGTACACACACATACTGGTACTCTTTACTAAAATTGTTGTGGATCCCAAACTTTTAGAGACCTCGTGGGATTGATGTGTTATTACATTTTTTATTGGTTCAAAATAGAAATCATGATTGTGAATAGACAACTGAACAAAATAACATGTCATACTCTAGAGATTCTGACAAAATGTTAAAGGAAAACTCCACTTTTTTTTTTTTTTTGGAAATCAGACTCCCCTAGAGTTAAACATTTGAGTTTGACCGTTTTTGAATCCATTCAGGCGGTAGCACTTTTAGCATAGCTTAGCATAGACCATTGAATCTGATTAGATCGTTAGCATCTCTCTCAAAAAAAAAGACTCGATATTTTTCCTATTTGAAACTTGCATCTTCTGTAATTACATCGTGAGCTAAGACCGTCATTTTTTTACGGGTTTAAAATCGCGGTGAATGAATGATTCGACGGCTTCGCTTGTTTTATCACTGGATGAATTGGCGTTTTTGAACATATCCTGAATGAATGAGTCAATGACACTCATAAAGACTTGAATAAATGATTGAACTGCGAATACGTTTTGTAACAGTCGCTTGTCGCCACCTACTGGTGTAACAGTGTACTTTAAACATCTTTTGAAGCTTCACCTTACTTTTATAAGGTGATTCGCTCTATATTGATCACTACCATAGACAACAGTGTTCATATCTGAACTATAAACTTTTATCCCAGTTCTTCTGTGTATTAATGTATCACAGAAATGATGATGCTGTGTGGTTGTAAAGGCTGTTTCATACCCAAACATGACATCTGCTCTCTCTGAATGTTTCGAACCAAAAGTTTAATAGACACAGCCAAATCCCTGTCATGTAGGAATACGATTAAATGGGTGTTTGAATCAGGATTGTGATATATTCAATGCAACAACAACAAAATGGACGTCTGATTTCATTTCGTTGAATACGCCTCTGTGTTTGTCCGATGGTTGATTTCATTTTGGCCTGTTAAATTGTTACCGAGCTGGTGTCTTAGTCAAAGTCAAAGACCTTATCTGATGCAACAAAACCACTACAGAAAGATTCTCTCTAGTCCCATTAATAGCAATTACTATGTGAGTGTGGCAGGAGAAGTTTAATGTTACGGCAAAAAATGTTTTGTCCTTTTGAACTTTTGTAAAGGGATAGTTCACCCAGAAATGTAAATAGTCATCCTTGTACTTACTCTCATGCCATTTACTAGTGTGTTAGTGGAGGAAGAGTCACGTTTAATCATTTACTAAGAGCTATATTTCAGTCCTGATTCTGAAGGACATCTGTCTTCCAGGGTTTATCTCTAATCAAACAAACCTAAACTTTCTGTTTGACTAATGTTAGAGGTAACAACCTCCAGGACTGGTGTTAAACCCTCATCCTTCCCTCAAAAAAATGAAAATATTTTTCTTTCTTTTTTTTTTTTTTTTGTGTGGTTCAAGTCGCATATTGAACCACGGATTATTTTTTTTTACCCTCAATCGGGTCATGGTGTCTATACGACCCCAATCGACTTTTACTTACTAAAAAAGGTTCCCTTCATCTCAGTGGAATAAGATTTTGTGACTTTTCATATATTATCTATCTATACACACACACACACAAAAAACTGGGCTTGATTCGGTTGTTCTGAAGGTATGATTTTTTTTTTCGAGGTCAATATGACCCCACATTGAAAAGAATGGGAAATGTGAAAAACAAAAAACAAAATATATTTTCTTCATGTGTCAAAAAAAGAAAAGAAAATTAATCCGACATAAATCTGAACATTTTTACTCAGAAATGAAGGCCTAGTACTAGAACATAAATGCAATGTATCATAAAAAAAAATAATATTTCATATGCAAGCTGATGGTGTAGTTGAGGAATTATGTGTTATATAAAGAACTTTTGTATCCATATCTCCAAAAACACAGCAGTAATGAATAGATGAGTAGTAAACAAACAAAAAAAAAAATTGATATATTATTTATATGATTAAAAATGTATATTTTTTGTACAATTACTCAATCAATTGTTGGGGTCGTATAGACCCAGAAGTGTAAACAGGAAACCAAGACCATTTGAATGTTAAATGAATTTGAGGAATTTTGTGGTTAAAATAATAATAAAAAAGTAACAAATCCTTCCCTTGTGGGTCAATTTGACCCCTTTAGGAATGCAAGGAATGCTACACATAGAAAAACCTAAAAATGCTAAAACTTGACCAAAAAAATACTTTATAATGTCAACATGTGTAACTGAATGCATACTGAAGAGAAAATGAATTTAGTGTCCAGCAGAGCCGCTCATTTGCTCCAGTTATGAAATAACATGTTATATTATTGTTTCTCCACAAGAGGTCGGCAAAGACCCCCAATGTACGATATTTTGAGTTGAATTCAAAGGGTTATGAATGAAATTGAGTTATTTTGAATTGAAGTTGAAAGAATGTGAGGAATGTGCTGACATTACTATTTATTTATTGATCAAATCTAGAAAATCTCCCAAAAATTGCATAAAAACCCCTATCAAAATGAAATAAATTAAGCTTTCTGATTTTTTTTTTTTAGATAAAATTTTAGGGTGAGGAAAGGATGAGGATTAAGAGCCCTGCCGTAGATTCATATTTAGTATGTGGATCATACAGTCAGCTGTCAGAACAGATGTTTTCATTTGTTTGCAGTATTACAGCTGGTGGAGTAGCTACACAGAAGCCATCAACTACCTGATGACCGTTCCCAAATATCGCATCCAAGCCGCCGAACTGGCCAAGCAGCAAGGGCTCCTGAACCGAACCAAAGAGAAGGGGAAGAACCGGCGATCCAAAGAGGAGATCCGCGAGGAAGAGGAGCAGATTATCCGCGACATCATCAAGAACAAGATCGACATCAAAGGTGGCTATCAGAAGCCCAACGTCTCCGACATCCTGCTGTGCAAGATCATTCTGTTCCCATACCATCTGTGCACCTTCGTGGCGTGGCACTGCTCCTGGTTCTACCGCTTCTCCATCCGTGGGGAGGAGTACGGGCACGAGGAGAGACTGTACATCATCCGCAAGAACATGAAGATGTCGCAGGCTCAGTTTGACAGTCTGGACAGCGGCCTGATAGAGACTTTCCTGAAGCAGCAGCTCTGGATCAAAGACAACTATGAGGTTTGGAGAAGATTTCTTCCGTCTCGGGCGGCTTAAAGGGATAGTTCACTGGGAAATTAATGTTTGGTCATGTTAGGCTCAGTCACACACATATATGCATGCATGCACAAAAATGCATACACACACACATGCATATATATTAGGGCTGTCAAATGATTAATCTTGATTAATCGCATCCAAAATAAAAGTTTTTGTTTACTTAATATATGTGGGTGCACTGTGTATAATTATTCTATATATATATATATAAATACACACACATGCTTGCATATATTTAAGAAATATTTTCATGTATATACTGTATAATTTATATTGTATATAAATATAAATATTTTATATTTAAATAATATTTTTTCTTAGATATACATGCATGTGTGTGTGTGTATTTTATATATATATATATATATTTGTCTATATGTATATATATATATATATATGTATATGTATGTATATATATATATATACATGTATATGTATATGTGTGTATATATATATATATATATATATATGTGTGTGTGTGTGTATATATATATATATTTTATTAGGGCTGTCAAACGAATAATCGCATCCAAAATAACTTTATGTTTACATAATATATGTGGGTGCACTGTGTATAATTATTTTGTATATATATATATATATATATATATAAATACACACACATGCATGTATATTTACAAAAAATATTTATATATAAAATATTTATATTTTATATAATATAAATTATATATCAATCTATATACAGTATATACATGAAAATATTTCTTTAATATATATATAAGCATGTGTGTGTATTTATATATACAAAATAATTATATTTTATTATTCGCGATTAATCATTTGACAGCCCTTTTATATATATATATATATATACACACACACACACACACATATACTTGTATATTTCTGTGCATGCATACATGTTTTAAATTTACATATTTTTCTGTAAATAATTTAAAAGGATTAAAACTCAGATCCCCCAGCAGCCCTATTAAATATTCAGTATAGAAACATTCATAATTACGTGATTACTCAGTGGTCAAGGTGTTTTTCATCAGTGATCTGGAGTGTGTGGTGTTGTTAGTATGTGTGTGTTTAGGACCTCAGACTGATGATACTGTGTGTTTGTGAAAGGCCTACCGAGAGGAGCAGGAGGAGGAGATGAAGATGAAGATGGCCACGGACTCGCGATGGAAACGCTACAGGCGCTGGATGAGGAGCGAGGGTCCCGGACGTATCACTTTTGCAGATGATTGACCACACACACACACACACACAGTGTGTGTAAAAACACTCGTTTACAATGGACTGGCGATGTGCACCTGATTTATAAGGATGCCTTTTCTCAGATGATATAAGACTGTAAAGGCGATTTGATTGTACCTATGGAGGGTCATGTGACGTCTCCATGTGCATAAGAGGATCATTTGAGACCGTTTTTTTGAAAAATAACCGTCTTAAAACATCATGTTGTTGTTAAACCCGGACGAATTTAATCACAGGCTAGAGAAACGGTTTGTAAAATGCCACATTTCATTCACTGAAAGACTGCGTCTGTTCTTTCTTCTACATGTCTGCTATAAATGTTGCGTCTAATCCTATGCTGTATCTCCAAGCCTTTTATTTGCATATATAAGGTCATATCTAATTGTTCCGTTACATGGTACTTTAATAAAGTTTTATATTAGAATATTATTTATATTATTATATTGTTCTCTGTGCATACACACATATGCATGTATATTTAAGAAAAAAATATTATTTAAATATAAAATCTTTATATATATATATATATATATATATATAAATTATTATATATAAATCTATATACAGTATATAAATGAAAATATTTCTTAAATATATACTAGCATGTGTGTGTGTATATATATATATATATATATATATATCCACATATATTATGTAAACACAAACTTTATTATGTAAACACAAACTTTTATTTTGGATGCGATTAATCACAATTAATCGTTTGACAGCTATTATATATATATACATATATATATATAATAGTTCAAATTCATTTCCTTTTAACGTTTTTTTCCGTTCAGGATTCATTCTCTAGAGGGGACAACTATACTATTAAGAATATATTTTAGAAAGATGCACAGAGAGAGAACGGTATTTTCTCATGTAATTTGAGTTTCATGCAGTTAGGAATAAAATTAAAAATTATTTGTGTGTCGCTTTGGATAAAAGAGTGCAAAATGTAAAGTTATGAAAGTTTGCAGTTTGTTATGGCTTGCATTTGACCAATTCTCTCGTTACAATAGTTTTTTCTCAACTGTAATAGACAGTTGTACCCAGAATATGAGTGCACAGTTCAGAGATAGGACGTTTGATCCACATCACCACTTGAGGTCACTATTGCGATTACCAGTCAGTCATTTTTTTGAATGAAGGGGAGACTGAAACCATAATGTCTCAGTGGCCACTATAAGGTGCTCGTGTATATAAGTCACTATAAGGTAACTTATTTGGTTAATATGATCAAAGATGGCTGTAAAAAATAAATCTGCATTGTTTATCCTTTTGATATTTTAGTTAAAAAAAATGCAAAAATCTGAACTTTTATTGAAGTAAAAGAATTGAAAGTGGGGGGGAAATCACATTATGAAATAAATGCTTTTCTCCAAAACACATTGGGAACAATTTTACCCCCTTTTATGAAATAGTTTTTGCAACGATATAACAGCTCTTCTCCTATAATGCCGGATGAGTTTGGAGAAACAGTGACCAGAAAGTTTTTGTTTTCAACTTATTTTGATAGTCCACTAGATATTCTACTAACTATAAGTAATTTTTCAACTACATGTCAACTTATTAGAGTATTAGTAGAGTGTTTTACTGCCAGTAGACTGTTCTATAGAACCTTCAAAGGTTCTATCAGCGCTACATATTTGGAACCCTTAAAAGGTTCTATATAACCCTTTTTAAGGGTTCAATAATAAGAACCCTTTAGTGTTCTTTGTAACCAGGAAAAAGGTTCTACATGGAACCTATTGGGTTCATTCATTATCATTTGTTTTGTCCTTTCCGGATTAAATATTTCATATTATTGACAAACATCAAGACCCTAAAATGTATTTATGAATGCATGTGAATGATCACAAAATTCAGGATATGGGGGTTAGAAAATGTATATATTTATATCATTTTACGTAGTTTATCAATATCAAGAGTTCCATTTCAGCTCTCCTCCAAAAATCAGCATGATTAAAATGTGATATTAAGTTACTACAACAGTTTAATAAACAATCATTTAATTACAACAACAAAATGTTGCAGGATAATGTAATATAATGTAATATATGAATGAATAATAGCCTATAAAGAACCCTTGTGCCAAAAGGCTTTTTCTTTTTTATTATAATAGGTTCTTTGGAGGTGAGTAAAGAACCCAATGATTCAACCCCTTTTTTTAAGAGTAAGGTTAACGTTAGGTGTTTGGGTTCGGGTTAGTAGAATAAGTTGACTTGTAATGTCTGTTGAGGAGCATAAAAAAGTGTTAGCAGATATTCAGCAGACTTTACTAATACTCTAATAACAGTTTGTTGACATGACTAAAGTGGACTAAACATATTTAGATATACGGGAAATCGCAATGACGATTTCGATATATCTAAATATGTTTAGTGAGAGGTAAAACTTCCGAAATCTCCGTGTAAACAATGCTTGACGTAAAGGCGCGAGAGATCACTTCCGGCGTAACGTCTAGAGACGGTTCATTTCAGTTCGGTTCAGTTGGACATCTGATTCATCAGTTCGACGGCTGTTAACAAGAGGTAAAAACGATATAAATACTGTTCGTTTTCTCACACAAACCGCTCGTTACGTGTCTCAGGCCATTCACGAGTCATTAAATCATGTTTAATTTTGACTTCTCTTAGTTCTCTGTGCTCTTTGAGGTGAACCGAGGGAGGACCCCCAACCTCCAGTGTATGACTGACAGACAACAACGGTTTGACCAAAAAATGTCAAATTTGAAAATGCTGTGGAAACAAAGACACCTAAGTTACATCTTGGATGCCCTTGAGGTAAGCTAAAACATATCAAAAATTAATTTCAAAGTGAACTATCCCTTTAAGTGTTCATTTGTAGCAGAGATGTGTATGTTGCTTGTGTAAAATAATAATAATAATAATAATAATCTAACCTAATTATTTTTTAATTAATTGAGCCAAAACCAGAATGCGTTAGGTTGTGCCCCGCTCTCCCCTATATATATATATATATATATATATATATATACAGTATATATATATATACCAAGGGTGGAAATAATTCTGACCAGCACTGTATGCATCTGAACACATATTTCGCAAATTTCGCCCAGAAATATTATACAATTAATGCTTGTGAATGGCATGAATTCAGGTTGATTCTGCGAAACATGTGTCACGATAATCCCCCAAAGTCTTGCTTTTCACTATGCATGTGTTTGTTAATCATAAATCAATCTCATGAATCCCAGAACTTAGAAAAATTCAGATGTTCATTGATTAGGGCACGTTTACACGACAACGATGTACTAAAAATGGAAAAATTGTCCTTTTCCAACATAAATTCACATACAGATGACAACGTAGTCAAAACAATAAGCCTACTGATCACATGGATCCACGAAAACGACTAAAAATCTGGCTGTGTTCTGCTACCAGGCCAGTAGAGGGCGATGTCCTGCTATAAAAAACACTAGGCGACTGAACACGTAAAACACTCGCATTTGCGTTTTTGTAGTTTTCATCTAAGAACAGAAAACTACAAGGCTAGGCAACATCGTTGTCGTGTAAACTTACTCTGAGACATCAGATACATGTCTAGCCTATCTGTTTCACTTTGTGTTTGAGACTCAGTAGACTTTCATAATCACGCTACTGCAAACTGCAACGCCTCAAAGCCTCATTTGAAGTTTACTGTGAATTGCTAAAAGAAAAATATAAATGTGATGCTAATATTATCAGAAAATATAGGTTTTTATGTGTAGGCTAGTGCCAAATCATTTTAATTTTTTCAGCTCAGGATAATGTAACTGTGTGTCAAAGCTGTTATAAAAGTAGGCTATGTGTCCGTCAGATGAGATCTGAGATTATTGTTGATGGTTTGGTGTTTTCCAGCTTGTTGGGAGGATTGAATGACGGAGTGTGTGTGTAATCAGGATTAAAGTCTCTCTCTCTCTTCTACTGTAATTCAGGTCAGTGGCAGGTCAGTATACCAGCACAAACACATCAATCTGCTGAAAACAACACACAAAATATGCACTGAAGATGGTTGAGCATGATAAATGTAATTAAGCATAGTAAACACAAATGACAGGCAAGCTTACATTTAAAATAGTTTTGTAACAAATAAAATATATGGTCTGTTACAAGTCTGTTCTCATAAGATGCAAAAGGGATATTGTAAATGCAAAATAAACATGCAAAATATGTTAACAGTGAAATCATCATCTACTACTATATACGTACAGGAAAATGAGCATGTTTTGGTGGATAGCCTCCAGATCCCTTTTCTCTTTCTTCCTATCGGTGGACAGAGATTTGACCATATGTCCAAATCATACGCTTGCTTCATTAAAACAGCTTAAGCCTTAACTGTACTTAAAAGAAATGAGGGGAAGTCTTTCAATGTGGATAATCGCACATGTTCAGTATGGGTTGCCATCCGTCATTGATAATGTACATTATTGTACCTAAGTTGAAAGTATGAATCCTTTATTGATTTGTCCTTGTGCTATGATTATTGGTCTTTATAAACGCAGAGTAAACTTGCTCGTAATTTACCCCGGGTCAACAGTTTTTATGCGTTTTGACTGTTCATTTAAAGGAATAGTTCACTTTTGAAAAAACTTTTGCTCATAATTTACTCACCCCCATGTCATCCAAGATGTCCACGTCTTTCTTTCTTCAGTCGAAAAGAAATTAAGGTTTTTGATGAAAACATTCCAGGATTTTTCTCCATATAATGGACTTCAATGGGAACCAAACGGTTCAAGGTCCAAAAGAAACTTTAAGTACAAACTGCAAACTTGTTCAAAGGGCTTTAAACGATTCGAGACGATGAATAAGGGTCTTATCAAGCGAAACGATCGCTCGTTTTATAAATAAATAACAAAGTTTAAGTTTTATAAGCTCAAACGCTCGCCTTGCTCTGTTCTGTACCGCACTCCTGTTCGAACTCGTTCATCAAAATGAACAAATCTTTTTCCGAGTCATTTAGTTCATTCGGCGAAAGAAACGAACAAAATGATTCGGAAAAAGATTAGTTCATTTTGTTGAACGAGTTCGAACAGGAGAGTCACGAACGTGCACGGAGGTTGTCTACAAACCACGCTTTGTCACGAAAAATCACGCGATAAAACGAACCGGAAATGACGCGAAACAGCACGCGCCCCAATACCCAGCGAAGAAGATGAAGAAAACTAGTGCTGCAAACTGTTTGCGGGATGATTTGCTCTCAGAAAAAATGCAAAAAAATTAAAAATAAGATTTACCCGGTGACCACCAAACCCATGCCTTGCTCTTATTGGCTGTAGCTCATGACATCACTGAGGTTGAGTCGTGCGACAGCTCTGGATATCTAGCATGCTAGATGTGTTTCTGGGTGTCTTTGAGCGTCTTTGATGCGTTGTTGGCTCTTTCATTCTAACAGATTGGCGAACATTCATCGCCCGCTAATCC